ACTATGGCGATGGCCGGTCTCGGGGAAGGGCAAAGGAGTGAGGGGAGGAGGAGGAGACATGTCATAGTCTAAAGAGAGCCTGAGAGACACGGGCCTCCTCCTCAGCACTGGTCAGCTCCACTCTGAGAGTGAAAGTGGGCGGGGCCAAGCGGGAGAGGCCAATGCATGCAGGCCCTACAGAAATAGCACTCATGTTGCTCTGGCTTCTGGCCCAGACAGGGCAGAGGCTCTGGGCCCACGGAAGGCATCTTCTTGAAGCAATGTGTCCTCTGGCACCCCAGTGCTCTTGCCTACTGATTCCAGCAAAGACCAAGTGACTGTGGGATGGGGGAGGGTCATGGAGGCTGGCTTCCCAGTTAGGGCCAGGCTCCCAGAAGCAGGCTGCTTGGGTTCAAATTTCATTACATTCATTTGCCAGCTGTGTGGCTTGGGCAAGTAACTTCATGAGCCTCGGTGCCTCAGTTTTCCATCTGACAGGCAGCATAGTGTAGTAGTTAAGAAAACGGACTGTGGAGCCAGACTAGCTGGTTCCAGCTCTGCCTCTTACTAGCTACATAATCTTGGGCAAGTTATTTATCCTCCTTGTGCCTCAGTTTCCTCATCTGTACAACGGGGACATTGTACTATCACCTCCCTCCTGGGTTGCTGAGGTTTAAATGGAACCATGCACACAAAAGCACTCAGCAGAGTTCCCCCTCAGTATGAGCTGCCAGGACTCCGACCTTTGCTAAGGGCTGGGTTAAGCTGAGGGAGGGAAGGCTCAAACTAGGACGAAACCAAAGGGCTCCACTTTCTGCTTCCCCAAAGCCTCAGAGAGTAATGCTGGCCAGTTCTGTTTAATTTTCCAGGTCAAATAAGATAAGAACTAAGGAAGGCCAGCTGTTCCCTCCAGTTACTAAGGACCTCTGGATTTTGTGAGCCTGCTTTAAGCATGGTTGCTAAGGTGGTTAGGAGAGCAGCGTGGGAGAGGCGGTGGGCCCAAGAGAAAAAACAACCTTCCCTTCCCACCACCCCCACTCTCCTCTTTTGGATCTCCTAGGTGTAGGTGCCACTCGGGGCTGAGGGCTCCAGGAGACTGGGATGCTGGTTGCTGGGGTGGTGCCCTGTCTGACAGAGCACTCCTTCTGTCCCAAGCCAGCTTCTCATCCAGGGCTCCCACCCCACCCACGCTCTTGGTGGAGGCACAGCTCTTACCAATTCGAACTCTCCATGAGCAGGAGCTTCGGAAATAGGAATAGAGGATGGGCTGAGGAGAGAGATGATAAGGATACACATTAACCCATGCTCAGTGGCTATTAGCCCCAGGAACCCACTAGAGAGGAGGCAATAGCTCCCGGCCAGGGGGCTCCAAGCCAGCACTATTTCTTCCCATCCCGCCAGGCCTCCTTCCTTAAGCCTGCATCTGAGCGACTCAGGCCAGACTCAGAGCTCTCTAGGTCAGAGGCCTGGGAGTCATGTGGAGTCCCTCAGCTCCAAACTGCAGCATCAGGCTTTCCTGAGGTGTGAGGGGCCCCCAAAGGGGCAGCCAGCCTGCAAGTGCCTTCCTTACCTTGCGAGACTCAGTTATGGTCCCGTGGTGACCCTTGGCCTCTCACAGAGCTGCGGGGCAGGGGGCGGAACCCTGAAGGGGTGGATCCCAGGAGCCAATGGGGAAGCTGGGCTAGACAGGGGTCAGGGGACCTTTGACTCTGGTCAGAAGGGGTATCTCTTTCCAACTCAGGAAGTTTTTTATGCTCCTGCTGGAGCCAGGTTTAGTGTCCTGGGCAGACAGGATGGCCTGGTTTTGAAGCAGTAGTTCAGGTGGTGCAGTGGGCTGGGAGCTGGCATACCCGGGGTCTGGTCCCAGTGCAGGAACTAGCTCTGCATGAGCTTGGACAAATCCCTGCCTTTTCTAGTCTTTGGCTCCCTCATCTGTAAAATGAACGGCTGCCCTAAAATGATAGCTTAATTCCTTCCAGCAGTGGCAGAAAGACCAGGAATTCTAATTTTTTGATGCTTTGGTACCCATCTCTTTCAACCCACCATCCACCAGTCTTCTAGGCTCTCAGTTGGTCTCATAAAAACAGCTCAGGGATATGCCCATTGACTCCTATGCTGAGGTCACAAGCTGGTAATCCATAGTGTTCTGTTTGGTCTACACCGTATGTAAAAATGTTTCAATTAGGTGTCAACATTAAAAAATCAGGATGGGGGCCGGCCCCGTGGTCTAGTGGTTAAGTTCATGTGCTCCACTTCGGCAGCCTGGGTTCAGTTCTCGGGCATAGACCTACACCACTCGTTGGTGGCCGTGCTGTGGTGGGGACCCACATACAAAATAGAGGAAGAGAGGAACATATGTTAGCTCAGGGCAAATCTTTCTCAGGGAGAAAAAAAAAAAAAGGTGAGCCTAGACATAAAATCTGGAGAGAACCATGCAATAAACAAATATTTAAAAAAAAAAATCAGGATGTTTCATATATAAATCCTGTTGTCTGTTTTTTCTTTAAAAAATCTGGAGACAGTGGACTCAGGTTCCTGAATAGCAGCAATTGACTGGAGAAAATTAATGGCCCCCTTCAGAAAGGGCACGCCCTCTCTGATCTACCAGGGCCCCTACCTGGCCCACTTCTCTCATTTTTTGTTACCTTGAGGCCCCCAGAGGCAGCTGAGTATGTGACCTCTCCTTTAAAGTATAAGGGACTCAAAGTTAATTTCTCTGGTGCTTCTTGGGTAACCAGCATTTTAAGGCAGGACCCAGGACACAGTTACCAGTAATTTACACTCACGAATCTTCTGGCAGACACATGTGTATCCCTGTGGAGAACTCAACAGAATTTCTTAGATCACCCCTGACTACCATCCCTCTGACTACAGACATTTCACTCAAGTTCCCTCCCTTCCACACCCCCAGCACACCAAGCTGCTATCTGACCCTGCTTTCATCATCCCTGAACTACCAACTCTACCTCTAGGTGGGCAAGGGCACAAGTGGGAACCTGGGCCTTCCCAGGCTGGTTCCCAAGCCTGGGCGTTCCAGTCTATACTGAAGGCACCTTTTGTGGGGAGAGAAGATGGTCCTGGCATGGAGGGCAGGTGATGTGCAGCAGGTGTCCCTGGAAGGTGAGGAGTTGAGTGACCACAACCGGATGTACCCTATCCAGAGGTGCATCGCTTTCCTTACCTGGTCAGGCTGGAGGAGTCCCTGGGGCCAAGAGACAGGGACTGCTGGTGAGGGATGGGACCACTAGAGAGCCACAGACATTAGCTGAGAATCCTTGAAGAAATGTCTTACCTAATTACTAAATGTTACACCTTTGACCTGTATTAAGGATGACCACAGAGTCACAGTAAATGCCACTGTAACCACGGGCCCATTTAGAGCCAGTTTGAACAGACCTCATCTCTTATCAACAAAGTGATTAAGGATTGTCTTTCAGAAAAACTGCAAAGTCATGCAGCCAGGGCATGCACAACAGAAGAAATCATGACCTGAAACAACCTTGGAACCCAGGAGCCTCCTTCCCACGGAACCCAAGGACCAGGAGGTGACCGGAACTTGAAAGCCCAGTTCTTATCAGAAGAGAGGGGTCCCTCATTCAGGAAGATCCGGTGTTAAAATTCCTTCCCAATTTCATCACAGATATTTAGAACCTCATCATAAATGTTTAAAACCTTACCATAAATACCTGAAGCCCACCAATGGAAACCTGTCCCACCAGCGTGTCTGCGTGCCAACCTGTTCCCGCTAACCTCTTAAATTTTGTCCCAAATCCTGAATCGAGGAGACAGATCTGAGGGCACACGCCCCTCATCTCCCTGGAAATGGATCTTGCAGAATAAAAAGCTGATTTCTCCCCTCAAAGGCTGGTGCCATAATTAATTGGTTCATTTATGCGCATCGGGCAGAGAACCCCAATTTTGTGCGGTAACATCACTGCCCTCAGGTTTCCTCATGGGCCATCAGGAGACATAATGGAGGGCAGTTTCTGCTTTCTCTTACCAGATAACCATATAAACCAACCCGTGTTCCTTTTTGCACTTGCACAGCTAAGTTTTACGGCTAAGAATATTCATCTCATCACCACTCCTGAAGGAATTTTGATTCCAATTCAAATATGGATTCTAACCACTCCAGCAGATTTTATTTTCAAACCATCTCTTACACATGATTTTAGAGAAAGACTGCTAAAATCCCGTTTGGGAGTGGGAGGACTATAAAACATTCAAGTGATGCTATATCCCACCTGATGTGCCTGCCACCTTCCTTTGAGCTACGACAGCGCTTCTCAAACTTTAAAAGACTCATCCAGGGCGCTTATTAAATATGCAGCTTCTTGGGCCCCTTCCTCCAGAGACTGATACAGTGGCTCTGGGGCGGGCCCGGGAAGTGCAAATTAAACCCGGGAAGCTGCCCAGGCGATTGTGATGACTTAAAGTAGCACTGCCTCCCATCGCCCCTGGTGCTCTCTTAAAAATGCAAACAACCCTGCAAGGCCGTCCGTCAACTGCTAGGACCTGTCGGGCCGACGGGCTGGGAAAGGAGCACGCAGAGCAGTGCGGATAAGAGTGGCGAGTGACGATCTTTGGAAGCCCTAGGGGAGGGGAAGGGGAGTGACAGGTGAAGCGCGCGGTCCCGGCAGAACCTCAGGTCCCGGCAAGCAGCGCGCAGGCGCAGAGTGGGGCTGGCGCGCTGCACCGCACGCCGGGAGTCGTTGTCGGAGCTGTGGGCGGGGCCGAGCAGCTCACCTTTGACCCCGCCCCCCAGGGTTCCTCAGGGTCTCTAAATAGCGCCCCTCTCCCCGGACGTGTGGCACAGACCTTCCCCGCCTGCATCTCGTACTTCGGGCCACCCCTCTTCTAGGCCAGGGAACTTCGCGCCTGGGACTCTCCGACTCGTCGACGATTGAGGCCCAGTGAGACCCGAAACGTCAGAACCTAGGCGTTCGTCTGGGTAAAGCGAGGGCTGGTCTAGAATGATCTGTACGGTCTCTTCTGGCTCGCCTCGTCCTGCCGCCACGCCCCCACTCCCGGCGCTGCTGGGACTTGCAGTTCCTTGAGCCCGTTTTCCCGGCCCGGCGCGCCCGGCCCTCGCGGCCCGTCATGCTCTGCGCCACTAGCCGCCTCCTAGCGGCGACGGCGCTCCCCGCCCAGCCCAGAGGCCGGGGCCCCGCGCCCCGCTGCCGGCGCAGGGAACTACATTTCCCAGGGCACCCCGAGCTGCCCCTTTGTGACTTCTTGACGGGGCAGCTCGTAAGACCTAGCGTGCCTGCGGGCCGGAGGGCCATCCTGAGGAGGGGAAGGATGCCGCCGGCGGTGGGCAGGGGCCTGGCAGGGTCCGAACTGCGTCCCCGGAGGGGCTGCTGTGGGCCCCAGGCCGCTAGGGCCTTGGGCCCGGATGTGGCCACAGAGGCTGCAGCGCGGAGCCTCAAACGGCCTGCTCCGGGCTCGCGGCGCTTCGAGGCGGCCGCCCGGTGGGCCCTGCTGGCCCTGGTGACGCTGCTGTCCTTCGCCACCCGCTTCCACCGTCTGGACGAGCCGCCGCACATCTGGTGAGTGACAGGAGGGACTCGGCGGGCGCCATGGCAACCGGGTGGGCGGGGACGCGCCCTCTGATTGGTCCGGGGGCACGGAGGGGGCGGGATTCATGGGAGGAGGGGCGGGGCCGCGCTGGAGGGGAAACTGAGGTTTCTGGTGGTTGCCACTGGCCAGGTGCAGTGTCTGTGAGACGAATCTTTTTGCTGTGGTGGGTGGAAGTGGGATTCCTTAGGACCTGAGGAAGCAGTTGGGTTATGTTGCAGTGTCTTACCTGGCTCTCAAACTGTGGCTTTTAAAGGTGCTTTGAAGTTTCCAAGGAGAATTGGAAATTCTTAGTACAGGTTTTTCTAAGGCCTGAGTTCCTAATCTGCAGGATTTCCGGTCATCAACAGAGGGGAAAATTCCTAACTGAGTGCCTTCATCCTCGGGAGCAGGGACAACTTGTGTGTCCAAGGATGGTGACAAGAGTCCCAGGAAGCAGGTCTGGGGTCATCCTGTGAGGAGAGACTTGTTTTCTTAAAGTTTTTGTCTTGTAGGACTCAGTTTCAGGAGTCAGATTTCATTAGATAAGCTTAAAAAGTCTCTAGCTGGAAGGAGGAAGAGTTTTACACAATCTGAAAATGGTTAATTTGTCAGGCCAACAAGTGATACCATGTTTTCTCAGTATCGCTGAGAAAGTTAGTGTAGGAAATGTTAGAGATGGAACTCCTTGACCAAGAGTCAAGCAAGCAAGCTGCCCAACTATCAGGTTACCCTACTTGGAAGTTAATAAATTAGCTCCTTATTGTTTCATGAGTACTGGCAGAAGACACGAGACTCCTGGGTCTGAGACAAAGGACTTATTACTCACAGGCACAGGAAGCAGGATGAACTTCATGTTGGATTCAGTTTCTCATGCCCTCAAGTCCCACAGAGTGACGCTGTGGGCTCAGATGGATGACTGCACATACAGTGGGTTGCCTTGCAGCTAAGGAACAACAAGCTTGGGGAATCTACTGTTTTGTGTCAAGCAGTAAGCAAGCTTACTCTTTGTCCTGGAGAGAGACATTACCTCATCTCTCAAGGTTGCTTGGTGCAAACACAACTCTGAGAAATGGCCCAGGTAAAGTGCAGTCAGGGCCTTGCATTCTTGCCATACCCAGCGAGATGTGTGGAAGTACAAGAGACCCATGGAGGATTGTCTCTCCCAACAGTCTCACCCCTCGATCCTACACTGTCTTGGCTTCTAGCCGATTTTCACATGAATATGCAACTCTTTTGGCTACTCTGATTAACCTGGCTGACAGAGGCAGGAACCAGATCTGTTCAGTTTGTCTCATACAGCATTTAAGGCTACACTCAGCAAGACTCAAAGCAGCAGGATGAGGCCAACCTGTGGTGTTAACCTCAACCATGCCCTCCAGGGTTCTGGATTCAGCCACCTGTGAATAATTGTGTGTGGGGTGGAGGGAGGGAAGGACCGGTAAGTCTTATTTCAGATAGCTGGAAAGTAGTCTAAGACCAGTCTGTTATCTATTATGATCTGTGTACAGGTGTTCAGACCTCTGATCTTTGGTGTCATGGCTAATAATTACAATGGGTCCCTTCATTTAAAAAGAAAAAAAGCAACTCCCGTGCCTGATGGAAAGACATTCCATGGCCCATTCTTCCTGTCATCCTAGCATATTACCTGAAGAGGTGCAGGTCACTCCAGTTCAGGATTTTTTGTTAAATTTTATCTGGATCACCATTAAATTTGGTTTAGATCACCATTACAGTGGTTTGGTTAAGCCACATGGGCAGTGAGTGTCACTGAGTAGTTGCCGCCTCAATCACTATTCAAGGCATAGCCTAAGGCCTGTAGGGTGTCAGGAGAAGCATATGAATTTGTATCAGTCAGACTGATAGAAGGTTGTGCTGGTCTGTGTTTGCACACAGATGAGGGAGGTCCATATTTGGGAGTTGGTGTTGATGTCATCAGGCAAATCAGAGCAGGTCAGATTGTCAGCTATAGCTGCCACTTGACTTATTAGTACCATATGAATGTTTTGCTAGGGTGGGTGCTGGGCCTAGGGGACAAAGAGACCATTGTTTCCCTTCTCTTTACATTTCCAGGAGTCTAAGATATTCTCTTCCCAGGTGCCAGGGTTGTTTCTGTCCTTCCAATGCCATATAATCAGTGTGTCCCACTCTAGTACCTGTAACTTCACCTTTTCTCCAATTATCCTCTACTAATATCCAGACCTTTTTGCCAAAGGCCTTGTTAGAAAATTGACAGGGACTCATTATTAATGTCTCCCACCTTGGCCCATGTGAGCCACTGTAGGGGGACTTGACAAGCTGTGTACTCAACCACGTGATCATTATCTTTATGCTCTAGAACCATGTCACTCCAACAACAAAATCCAGGTGACTGAATGAGAATTAAATTTGAATCCCATAGACATCCCCAGGCTGATCTGGAGTTGCTGTTAGGGGAAAGAAAGACAAATCATACCCAGGAATACTTGAGGAAGAATCTCAAATTTTCAAAATACGTTTATATAATCTACTCCTTTTGTCCTGATCATTACCCAGTTGGTGGCCAAGAGGAGATGAAACCTTTCTGGTGATGACTATATTAGGTGACCAAACTGCTTTACTGAGGTGTGTGAACCAGGAGGAGGTGAGGGAAGCAGAAATCTTTTTGAGAAGACTATTCAGTGCTTGACAATATCAGATGCCTGTGGATGGTAGGGAGTGTGGAATGTCATCAGATACCTTGACTATTTGCCCATTATTGCTTGGCCGTTGCAAAAAAAGGTACACTATTGTCAGACTGTAGATGGTTTGGAAAGCTGAAAACATAACTTTTTTTTTCTTTTTTTGCTGAGGAAGATTCACCCTGAGCTAACATCTGTTGCCAATCTTCCTCTTTTTTGGCTTGAGGAAGGTTGTCCCGGAGCTAATAACATCTGTGCCAGTCCTCCTCTGTTTTGTATGTGGGTTGCTGCCACAGCATGGCTGACGAGTGGTGTAGGTCCGTGCCCAAGATCTGAACCTGTGAACCCAGACCGCTGAAGTGGTGCCGCCGAACTCAACCACTACGCCACAGGGCTGGCCCCCGACATAGTTTTGTTTTAAGCACCACAGTGGTATATTTAGACTCAGATGATTGGACTGGAACAACATCATCAACACCATAACCTGAGAAAGTGTTAGCAGCAGTGAGGCATCGGTGATAATCTGGAAAGTCCTGATATAGTCAGTTTCCTTGGAGTGGGCAGGGTCAATGCCCTGGGTAATGTGGCTTCCTTTACTGCAGACAAACAGGCCAGCTTTTGACAGGCGTCACAAGTCACGACAGTGCAGTGGTGGCTTCTGCCTCAGAAACATACAGTCCTTTACTTCGTGCCCAGCCTGTTATGGTGGATGTGTTGGTACACTGATGAATCCAGATGGCAACAGCAGTAGTCTGGGTGGTGCAGCTTGATCAGCAGCTTGATTCCCGTCAGTCTTACCAGAATGCCAGCCCTTACCATGGGCATCTACATGAGTGGCCCAGAGTGGCCCATCGGCAGGCAACCATGACTTTTTTCAACAGTTCTTTACTCTGAAGAGGGGTATTTTTAATTTCTCAGTCTTCCAAGTGGCACACGAGATGGCTAGGCTGATGGCAAAAGCTCAAGAGTCAATAAAAATATAACTTGTCTGTTTCTTAGGAGTATTGTCTAAGGCAAGAGTGATGACTTTCAGTTCAGACCTTTATGCCGATCAACTCTTACCACAGTCAGCCTTCCAGAGTTGTCACTGGGGCTGGGTGACTGCTGCTGCCCAGTGGACACCTTCAGCTTTTAATGTGGCCTAGCGGTCAGTGAACCAGGCACAGGCACTGAGAGGAACCTCTGTGAATCAAGGGCCCTACTGAGCCAGCGGCTTTCCTTCAGGTGGTGGAGTGGAACATAATTTCTCTCAGAGAGGGTGCTGCAATCTCTTCATGTAAAATCAAGATGCCACTAGGGCCATGCTGGCTATCCTCTTGAACATACCTTTTACATGTGACCAGCAAGGCTTGTTGAGCCCTTCTTTTGTTATCCATAGATTGGGGCAATATCAGGCCCAAGAGTCCTAAGGTCTTCATGGGTCAGGCATTCAATTTCAACAAGAGTTTAGTAGTAGGTTGACAGCTGCCCCTTTTAGGAAGTATGTACTTGGTGCCTGCGTCCAGCAGATGGCGCTGTTGTCCTGGAGACTGGCCTCTCTCTAGCAGCCATTATGTCTTGGAAGCTATGATTTCCCTCTCTCTTTTTGGGATTTATATTATTTTTCAACCACCCAGGAGGGGACAAGATCACCTCTCAACACACAGCAGTCTGTCAATGGGATAGTCCTCTTTGACACTGATAGGATCAATAACAGTTATACATTCAGCAGTGGGAGCCACAACAATAGTACAAGGGCACTACCCACAAGGTCACTTTACCTTCCCTTCCCCAATTGGAATTGACTCAGACCCTATCAGTTGAATTTGGACACTTTTTTCCCCTCGAACTAACGCGTCTAATAGGCCTGCATCAGGAGCTACAGTGACAGCCACCCAGAGATTATGCCATTCCCCAGTGGGGAGTGTGGGGAGTGCTGGATGCAGGGGGAGGGAAGGTTAGGATAGGCTTGGCACCTCTTCCTCCCAGTGAACTTCCCTGTGTCTGGTGAGCCCCCGGGCTTAGGGGCCCTTTTCCTTCAGTCCCTGTACACACTGTTGTGGCTCTCCCTGTAGACCTCAGCACCTTTGGTAACCCTTGCACCTAGCAGGTCCTCCCCCCAGCCCATGGGATTGAGTAGGGTGGCGATATGGGCCCCTGTATCCGATGGAGCCCTGAGTTTGAGTCCCTCTCCTCCCTGGAGATCCCCAGTGTACTAGGATGGGTGTGTATGGCCTTCAGTCCCCTTTAGGGACAGGAAGACCCTGGCCCCACCTTTTATCATCTTACTCTTTGAAACAGCTGAGATTGTGGTGGGGGGGGGGGATCATGTGCCACAGAGGGAGAGAGTGGCTCTGAGCCACTAAGGAAGGCACATTCACTTTTGGCTTGAGCACACAGCACAAAGATCTTTCAAAGTTTTCGTTTTACCCTAAGTTCTATATTGAGTAACAAGGTTCTTACTGCTAGCACCATTTATGTAAGCTTTAGAGAGTCTTGGTTCAGCAGCCACATCCACATTGCCTTTTGGCTGGGGCTGCTAGGCTTGCTGCCCCATTGTCATGATGACTTCTCTTCCTCCTTTTGCGCAGAAGAGAGTGAGCAGTAACCAAGGGTTACTGTAATCAGACAGTAATCAGTACAGTACAGTAATCAGACGGTTTATTTCAATCCTGCCTCTCTCCACTCAGCCTCATTAGTAGGTAGGACAGTGGGGGACTCTTACTACCTCCCTTGCCCACCACTTGGGCAAGAGCATTCACTACCAGATTCCAGGGGGTCTTCTCATATCCCCTAATCTAGCCTGTGGGGGCCCTTGTCCTTTCTCTTACAGGAAGCTATGTCTCAGCATCCTATGCTTGTCACCCAAAACTGTCAGGGTCTGGGATTTTATTTTACCCTACTTGCAAACTAATAAGTTAGCCTGTCTCTTTTATGGATGCTGGCAGAAGACAAAGTCCTGAATCAGAGATACAGGACGTTATTTCTCATGGCGCAGCAAACAGGAGGAGCATCAGCATGTTGGCATCAGTTCCTCTTGCCCCCAAAGTCCCATGTGATGCCGTGGGTCTGGGTGAATGCCTGTACGTGCAGTGGGTTGCATCACAGCTGAGGAATACTGAGCTTGGGGAGTCTACTGTTTTATAATAAGCAGCAAACGAGACTGTTCTCTGTCCCAAAGGGAGAGGCCAGCTCTTCCCTCAAGGTTGCTTGTTGCAAACACGACCCTGAGAAATGGCCCGAGTACAGAGCAGTCAGGACTTTGCATTCTTGGCATACCCTGCAAGGTCTGTGGGAGCAAGAAAGAGCCAGGGAGCACTCTCTCCCAACACAAACATGCAATGAAAGCCAAGAGGAAATGTAAATATTACTACTAGTTTGACTTGGGAAATTTTTGAAGTAAAAACCTCATACTCCTTTGCCAGTATGTTTCCAAACAGACTTCAGAACTAACCACAGATGTTGGGACAGTTTAAATAGGGCCCAGCATGTGTGGGATGTTATAGTCTACAGGGTTCTTTTGCATGTGGTATCTGATTTGTGCCCTGATACCTCCCTGTGAGGGGGACGTGGCAGACACTATTATTGTCTTCATAGTGTAGTGAGAAAAGAGACCCAGAGAGGGTGAGTGATTTTGCCAGGTCATGCTGTGAGTAAGTGGTGGAGCTGGGACTGGATCTCTCTCTGCAAATCTGTCTTGTCACACTGCTTGGAAGTTATTTCTCTCTTTGACATCACCATGCCACTCTCCTTACTTCATGTCAAACAGTGTGCTTCACATATGCAGAAGTAATTTACTCTCCTGCCTATCTATTGGACCCACTGAGTGAAAAAAAAAAAGAACCGTACGTTTTTGGGGAAAGCGTGTTTTGCACCTAATGTTGTAGGTTGGTAATAACTGTGTGTGGAAGCTGACCTGATGGATAGTCACTAGAAAGCAACCGTTCTTCAGAGCTACGGGGAGAGACTGACAAACAGCAATGGCCAGGCTCTGCTGGATAACTGGGCTGCTGCTGTAAAGCCCTCATGTAGGGTGTGAAAAGGTTTATGTGGTTGTATAGAAGAACAAGATTTTTGCATTTTGTTTAAAAGCTAATATATTAGAATCATTGGTTTACTTGCAAAATAATTTATGCATTGAGGATAGGTTTTAGATAGGCTCTTAGTAAGAAAGCCCTGAATTTGTATATACTAGTTAGTTTATTATAATAAGATCAGTGAGTTCGGAGTCAGCAGGTTAATTATCACAAGATTGATGAGCAAAATCATACTCCTGTGACAACCGTGGTTTAAAGGCTGTTACTGATCAGTAGCCCACAGGGTAGTTTGTAATAACAATAGAAATGTAGTTTCTAGTAGCAAAATAGGCTCAGGGTTAGAAGTGAACAGACTTGGAAGAAAACTCTTACTATAAACCTTTCTATAGTATAGGAAAACTCTTGTGCTTTTAAAGTAAAACTCAAGATACAGAATGAGTATAGATTTAACTTAAATTTTTGGTAACTTTTATGGTAAATATTTTCTAACTTTTCTTATCTATCTAAATGAAGGTTAATGACCACCTGATGTTTTGCTTCAAAACATTTGTCAAAAGCTTTTTTTCTTTTAATCCAAATTTTCTCTTTAATTGCTTGAAACTCATAGCCTTTGGTTTTGACAGTAATTTTAACCATGCTTTGTTAAGGCTATTTGGGTTGTATGATAATTTAAAGTTCTCATTTCTCTTTCTGTTTTCCCTTTAGTTGGGATGAGACTCACTTTGGAAAAATGGGAAGTTACTATATCAACCGAACCTTTTTCTTTGATGTGCACCCGCCTCTGGGAAAGGTGAGCAGTGTGGTGAATGACAGCTCTCTCCTAAGGGTTGGAACCAAGTCTCAGTTTTAGATTTAATTCTTGAGCCTGTAGAAAGAATTCCCTGACATTCCAGACCAGCTGCTTTCATGGAAAATCTTTGGTGTTTTTAGGAGTCCTCTGGGCTCAGAAATGGAGTGTCCATCAACTAATGGATGGATAAACAAAATTTGGTATATATATACAGTGGAATACTATTCAGCCATAAGAAGGGAACGAAGTACTGATACATGCTACAACATGGATGAATCTTGTAAACATGATAAGTGAAAGAAGTCAGACACAAAAGGCTACATATTGTATGATGCCATTTATATGAAATACCAGAATTGGCAAATCCGTAGAGACAGAAACTAGATTAGTAGTTGCCAGGATCTGGGGGGAGGGAGGATTGGGGAGTGACTGCAAATGGGTATGGAGTTTCTTTTTGGGGTGATGAAATGTTCTGGAATTAGGTAATGGTAGTGGTTGTGCAACCTTGTGAATATACTAAAAAGCACTGGATTGTACACTTTAAAATGGTGAATTTTATGGTATATGAATTTTATCTCAATTGAAAAAAAGAAAAAAGAAATGAGAGAAGGAATATGTACATAAAGCAGAAATAGTTTCAGGGAGCTGATTATCCACAAGGGAGCCAAACTCCTTCCCCGCCCCCTCCCCACTCCCAACATGCACATTGTTTGCCCTGTACCGCTCGCCTGTTTTACAATTAGAAATTCCACCAATCAGAATTCATTTTACTCTTTTAAAAACAGACACCTCTGAGAAGGCTAATGGATTATCCCTGGCATTCACTCAGTCCTTTCTTCCTAACTGTAGGCTGTGATCTTTGGCATCAAGGGGACAGGAATTTGCCTCTTATGAAGTCGGGGAGTGATCTTGGAGTATGGAGTAATTAGGGATGAAGGCAGGGGGTGAGGGGAGGCAGGGGTGGTGATCTGTGACAGATGGACTTAGGGAAGCGAGAGCAAGGGCTTGGGACCAGGGAGAAGGCCCCTGCAAGTGGGAGGGGTGGAGAGAGAGGGATGTGGAATAGGTGGCCTATTTCAAAATTAGCTCTGAGCCCAGAGGAGTAGAAAATGTTATGCGTCTTCCTGTATCCTTTAGAAGATAACAACGATAAAAATAAGAGCAGTTGAACACTTAGTCTATTCTAGTTACTATAGATGCATTATCTTATGTAATCCTCAGAAAAACTCTATGAAGTAGGTACAGTTCTATCCCCATTTTGCAAATGGGGAAACGGACACAGAGAGGATAAGTAGTTTGCAGTGGGAGGAAAGCTAGTAAGTGGCAGAGTCAAGGTTCAGACTGGCTTAGAGTCTGCCCTCAGAACCATTACACCACACCGCCTCATGAGCTTGCCTTGCCCCAGTACTCACACTACATCTGTTACTACCATAGAATTAAGCAACAGAACGTGTTGAATGTTTGTATTGGGTTAGCCTGGGAACCAGATGTCTGGTGGAGGTTTTTCATAGGAAGCCCAGACCAGTCTTTCAGCTGGGGACTGTCTGTCCGTTTTTGGAGTCCCCTAGTGCTCAGCACAGTGAAGACATGCATGTGGGAGACACTGGCTGATTTGTTTTTACTGAAGCCTTGCCTTCCTCACATCCGGCCCCTGTGTGAAGGGAGAAATGTGAGCCTTCTTTCTAAGGCTGCCCCCTGGGAGTTCTGTCCCTCGGCCCCCTACTTGATCTCCTGATGGTCCCCTGCTCTACCTGGTTGAAAGAGAGTAATAAGCAAATTCCCTGTGAGAGAGAGCAAAGTAGCTTTCATAGGTTCTGAAGCCAAGCCAGTCAAAGAATCAAAAAGCCCCTTGAAGTGGCGAGTGGGAAGTTTTCTCCTGCAGGACTGAGGCCAGTATTCATCACTTCACACTGGCCCCTAGCCCTGGGTGCCTGGGTGCTCCACTCAAATAGGTACTTTTAAAAGAAATAAAAATGCCTGCACATAATAAAAATGTGATCAGTACAGAAGGAAGTAAAAGGTCAGAAGCGGGGCTGGCCCGGTGGCGCAAGTGGTTGAGTGCGTGCACTCTGCTGCGGCGGCCCGGGGTTTGCCAGTTCGGATCCGGGGCACACATTGACGCACCGCTTGTTAGGCCATGCTGTGGCAGCTTCCCATATAAAGTAGAGGAAGATGGGCACGGATGTTAGCCCAGGGCCAGTCTTCCTCAGCAAAAAAGAGGAGGATTGGCAGATGTTAGCTCAGAGCTGGTCCTCCTCACACACACAAAAAGGTCAAAAGCTACCTTTCCCAACTTTTCTATTCCTCAGAGATAACGATGGTCACCTTTGTTAACAGTTTTTTCATCTCCTCTCAGAAATTTCTCTATGCAAATATAAGTGTAAATATATTTATACGTGTACACATGAACAACACTATATATACAAATGGGATCAGACTAAACTTGTTCAACAACTTGTATTTTAAATGTGGTATATCTTAACTTCTTTCCTCATTAGCACATAAAAACGTACCCCATTCTTTATAATGGTGATGTATTATCCCATTATACAGATGTGCCATAAATTATTTTACCCCTCTTCAATTGGTGGGCATTTAATGTTATTTCCAGTTTTTAGCCATTACAAAAGATATTGCATTGACCATCCTTGTACATCTATCTTTTCATAGTTGTGCAGGTGTATCTAAAAGATTCTCAGCAGCCAAACTAGAGAGTCAGAGAATACAGACATTTAAATTTGTGTTAGATATTACTAAGTTTTCCTGCAAAAATATTGTAATCATACATACTCCCACCAGCAGTGTATGAGGGCGCTTGCTTCCCCCACATCATTGCCAGCACTGATGTGATCATACTTTCAAAACTTTGCCAATTTGAGACTAAAAAATGGTATATCACTGTTTTCATTTGCATGTCTTGATGAGTTAGGTTGAACATTTTCTTCATGTTTATTAGCCATTTGTATTTTGTTTTATATGAATTTGCCCATATTTCTAGTAGATTTATCTTTTTTTGTTGATTTCAATGAGTGATTTAGTTAGGAAATTAGTTCAGGGCTACTGTTGACCTTAAGGGAACTGAATTTTGAGTGCCTGTTAAGTGCTTGGCATAGTGCCAGATGTTTTACCGACAACATCACCTCTAATCCTCACGACCCTCTGCAAGGAAGGTTTATTGCCTGTAGTTCAGAGATAGTAAGTGTTGTCCACAATCAGAGAGCTAGTATGTGGGGCACTGAGATCCAAACCATCTGTGCATTTCTTCACTCTACCAGACCAGCCAAGTGGTCTGGGAGTTTATACCAGCACCAGCTGGGTTTGTCCTCTGAGATCCCAGGTGGGAATGGGCATCCGTTTGATTGTCACCTGTCAGTTTTAGTTCATGTAGGTATTTGGATGGCTCTGTCTTTTCAATACCTTATATTGCTTTATATTAAATTAATTATGCTAAGTTAACTTCTGAGCCTTGGGATTCTTCTTTTTCTTTTAAAACAAGGCTTTGTAATCATTTACTGCTGAACTTTGGCTTCTGTACATTGACATGGAACTATAGAGAGTGACTCTGTTTAGAACTACTTGAAGAAAAAAGTGAGTTGGTTAGTGGTCCAAATCTGAGCCCCCACAAGCAGTGTTGCTGGGAGGGGCTTTCCTGACACAGCCAGTTTTTTCTGTCCCCCCACACAATGTAACCTGAGCACAGGGGTCAGGCTGGGGCAGCCTGGACTGTTACAGATGCTTGGTATGTGCTGACAATTTTTGTAATAAACTGCTTCTGATTGCTTGGGTGGAAAAGAGAATTTTACACTGTTGATGGCCAAGGAAAGACAGAAATGAAGAAGCTGAGCCTCTTGAACGTCTTGAAGGATTCACAACTCACAGTCTCAGTTTAGAGTTGATTTGTTCTGGTTTAGGACTTGCTAAGGCTGCCTTCCTTTGGAATACTGGAAATAGGAGAAACCAGTCTCTAGCCTTTTGGCATTTTTTCCACTGGGACTGTTCTCTTCCCCTCTGGGGAAATGCGTCTGTCTTTGCACTTCTCTTTCCCATTTTCTTGCCTTCTCCCTGTTCCTGGTGTGTAGCTAGCTCCTTGGCCACTTTTCTTTCTCCTCATTCTGACTTGGAACCCCAATTTCCTTTCAGTGGGCCAGTCTTCTGGGAATCAGCCCCTGCCCATGGCCTCCCCCAGGAGCTGTCATGTTTTATTTCTTAGCAAATGAATAAGGCTGCATGAGAGAGCCTGTCACTGGCCCTGCCCTTCAAATTGTGGGATTTCTTTCTTCCTAAGTGTTCAATCTACACTGTTCTCAAGAACTTGGCCTTAATACAAGAGAGGATTTGTTTCAAGCAGTGAGCTCTATAGACAAAAGATTCTTTGCTCTGTAACAGCTGCAGGAGAAAATGTCACACTGGCAACTCCTTCCATGGACTGTTGTCAAGGGAAGCTGAAGTCTGGGTGCAGCTGGGGGGAAGTCCAGGGGACAGAGGAATCTTCTTAAAGATCTCTCATGTTTTTATTTGTTCTCCTTTCTCCTCAGATGCTGATAGGTCTTGCTGGCTACCTGAGTGGATATGATGGTACCTTTTTGTTCCAGAAGCCTGGGGACAAATATGAGCATCACAACTACATGGGAATGAGAGGAGTAAGGCTTCCTGACTTGATATAGACTGACTGAACCCTGGGCCCACACTCAGTCAGAAATGTTACAGTTGGAAGCCCTGGAGTGGTGGCAGATGTTGATAAAGGGACTTTGGAGTGGTAGGGGGAGGGGAGGATGATTGGACCCACATCCTGTAGTCGAGATTCAGATACAGAGATTCAGAACTAGGGTGAGTGAGAAGGGAGGAGGAGGCCACAGATAGTACAGAGATTACATAGATAGGAGCAAGCACACACTGTGACCTGTTACCTGCCCACGTGAGGCATCAGACTTCAGCTTGGAGAGCAGCCTGGGACCCAGGCAGCCAGGAGTCTCCTGCAGCCCTGACGCTGGCCTCAGCACGCTGGCAAGCTACATGTTCTTCCTCTCTGCGGCCACAATTGCTTGAGTATTGCCTGCCTCTGAGGGCCTTTTTTTAAGATTTCAGCATCCCTCACCCCTGTCACCAGGTTCATACTTCTTGCCCCATGAAGTTTTCAGGCACACAGAAGGGGTTTTCCAGTCTTTTAAGGGAGGCCATGTATTTGCTCTGAGTCCCAGCACCAGCCTTAATGGAGCATGGCAGGGCCTAAACACTCGACTCTGTTGGACTCCATAGCTGTAGCTAAATGAAACCTGCAGAAACTGACCTCCAACGTGGAGTTCTCAGAGCAGGTGGCATTTACAGGCTCCTTTCCTTGAGGAGCTCAAAGCACTTCAGATAAATGCTATGTGCTTATTTGAGCTAACCATTGGATGGTTTGCATGGTCGTATCATGCCCTATTAAACAAGGAATGTCCCCTACCCTCAAGTTCGTATTCTTAAGTGATTCTGTGTCTTCCTAATGACTTTTGAACACCACATAGCATACATAATTGGATATAACCCTGACTCACTGTGGGCTTGCTATGGAAATTGAAATGGCCAAATATAACAGCCTCATTCCCTTCACACTAGGACACATTGCTTTCTGTTGACAAAAATTGACAACCGAAATGTGAGAATTTCCAATCCCCTGGGCTTGTGTATTTACTTTTGATGGGCAGGGTAGGGAGGTGGAGAGATGGCTGGTGGTTAAAAACAAAACAAAACAAAACAAAAGCCCTCCAGCTACTGAAGTGTCAATCAATCTTTTTTCCAAAATCAAAATACAACCTGTAGATTAAAGAGTAGTTTCTGGTGTGATTGAAGAAAAGAGCCAAGGGAGAAATAACAGAAATAACATTAGAATTCTCTAAAATATTAAAACACCTTTAGAGAGGTCTTTTTCAACTTGTACCCATAGTTTTGTAATGGAAGCTAATGTTTATTGAGTACTTTCTGTGTGTTAATGAAACTTGAGCTCATTTAACCTTCAGAGTAGACCCTATGAGGTAGGAACTCTTATTTTTCACATTACACGCATGGGGAGGCTGAGATTCAGAGATCTGACTTTCTCAAGGTCACAGTTAGCAGTGATGGGGCAGTGCAACCCTGGAGTCCCCACTTGAAACCACTGTGCCATCCTACCCACAGCTTGCCGGCTGGACTTTGCTGATTTCATGTCCGTGTACAAGTTGGTGCTCAACGGGGACATAAATGTTGCTTGATTTGATGCATCACTGTTAACACCGTCCATTTCTTATTTATAGATAGTCCAGGTGATTTTAGATCACCAAGTCATGCCTTCATTGGGGTCCTCCATCTTAAACATTAGCTAGTACCAAATCAAGCAGGTCCCTGATGTTTAGTTTAGCTGGTTATTTGATTTCCTTCCGTAGTTCTGTGCTTTCCTTGGTTCCTTGCTGGTCCCCTTTGCCTACCTCACGGTATTGGAGCTGTCCAGGTCCCTCCCAGCAGCACTGCTCTCCGCTGCCCTCCTCACCTTTGGTAAGTTGTCTTATTCCACGTTTCTTGGGAAATTGACTGCCACACTATGAATGTAGCTGGAAGTCAATACATTCAAGGATCCTTCCTATCTCTGGGCCCAGTTCTTAAGTGACTTTAGGATTGGGTAGATATATTATAAATCTCATTTTATTCACTAGTAATACTTAGATATATAAATACTTATATATAGCAAGCCTTTATATTATTGGAGGGGAGAATTGGCATGGGTAATCCCAAGGAATGGATTATCTCCCAGTTATCCACATTTGAGTTTGGAATGGGTAATAAGATAAATTTGTGTGTGTGTGTGTTTGAAGGAGGCTTATAACTCTAATTCTGCTTCTCTTAGGTTACTGTCAAGATTGGTTTGCATTCCTTAAACTAATTTCAACTGAATCTAAGGGCAAATGCCTCAGAAGTAGCTGGGCAGCAGGGGATCGCAAAATGGGAACTTAAATATTTTCTGTGGATAATCCTCACATGGATAAATGAGAGATGATCCCTAGAAATTGATCCTGTTGCTATTCTTATTCTTATGAAAGTGAATTCGTGATTTCATAGAGCTTAACATTTAAAGAAGTCCAGACGAATTTAGGTGGGTATTTTAGGGGTGATTCTGGCTTTGTTTTGCCAGATATGTTGCAAGATTATAGAGTCTCTGTAGAGAACTGGTGGCTTTTTCCTCATGTCTTTAATTTCCGTTTTCAGTTATTCATCCATTCAGCATTTATTCATTTTTCATTCAACAACTGTTTTTCAAGCATCTACCCTGTGCCAGACCACTTTTCTTGGTACTGATGAGGTACTGTGCTGTCGTGGAGCTTACCCACTAGTGGGGCAGACAGTAAATAAGCAAGTAAATTATAAGTCTGTAATGTAGCATCTTAAGCAGCACATGCAATGTAGAAAATAGAGCAGGGTTAGGGATAGAGTAATGAAGATGATTCTATTTTAGGTAGGGTGGTCAATGAAGAGCTCCCTGAGGAGGTGGCCTTGAGCAGAGACCTGAGTGAAGCAAAAGATTAAGCCATGCAGAGATCTGAGGGAAGAGTGTTCAGGCAGAGGGAACAGCATGTGTGGTGGTCCTGGTGTGAGACAGCACATGGTGCATTCAAAGAACAGCAGGAAGGCCAGTGTGGCCAGTGGCGTGAATGAGGTGGAGGGAATTGGGAGAGGAGGTTGGATGGGTAGGGAGACCATGCAGGCTTTGGCAGCCGTCTTGAGGTGTCTGTTAGTCTGAGTGAGATGGGAAGACGTTGGAGGCTTTAAGCAAGGGCATGATGTAATGAAATTTTGTTTAAAAAAAAATCCCTTTGGTACCTGTAAGGAGAATAAACTCCCAACGGAAACTTCATGTAAAACGGTAAGACTCTATCCTAGGTGTAGGTAGTTTGTGGCTACCTAAGCAGGGTGACAGAACTCCCTTTCTGATGGTGGAAATGAGGAAGAGCCCTCGTCTCAGGACTGCTCTATCTGACTGAATGACATGATCCTTTCTTGGGTCAAGGGCCTGAAAGCAGTGTGAGATACTGTTTCATATCATTGGGCTTTGGTGTGCTCCAAAGCTGTGGCCTTCCACCTTCCCGATGATCAGTGATGGCTCAGTGGCCCATCTAATCTTGACTGCACAAATGCTCACATGCAATTAGTGCAGGAGGACTGTTTCTTGTTGCTGGGGCATTTGGTTCTCAGGGGGGTCCCTCTCTGATTCTACTTTTTGACCACTGAGCTCGTGTTTTTCAGACACAGGATGCCTCACTTTGTCCCAGTACATCCTTCTTGATCCCATCTTGATGTTCTTCATCATGGCTGCCATGCTGAGCATGGTCAAGTACAACTCCTGTGCTGACAGGTCAGAAACACCATCTTTGTGGGGGGTGGGGTCAGAAACTGTGGCAGCTCCGGAATTTCTATAATAGACAGGGACAGGGTGGGTGCCTAGAGGACTTATCTTGAAGCTGAGTTTAAGGCAAACATACTTTTTTTTTTTTTTTTTAACTTAGATTGCCCGTTTTAGATCATTAAAATAGATTTTAAAAAGTTTTCTGTAGATACTTTTATTTTTGCTTTGTATACATAAGACTAAGAAAATGTCAATTGTCTTTCTCAAGAATATTATTATTATTATTTTTACAGTGGGGATGGATTTGGGTACGTATGGGTTCATGGATATTATGGAGGGATTCTAATGCCTTCCCCCACCTCACCATCCTATAAGCCACCCGTTGACACCAATGCTGGTTAGGAGATCCCAGGACAACTTTATCCTTCACATCATCAGTCCTAGAGGGCAGGGCACCAGGATCAGTAGTGCTTGGGAACTGTTTGTCTCCCTGGCCTCAGTGGTTGCATCCAGTCCTGACCTAATGATGGGAATAATGTATATAAAGGCTGGCTAGAATGGTCCATACCAATCAGGAGGATCCCTGCAGGCCCTGGTCAGTTCGAAAGCTGTTCTGGAGGGCCTGCCTCTGAGAGAGTTGAACAGGTCATTCATTCTATTCAAACCAAAAGAGCTGGCTCCGCCTAGGCTTTTCCAGAAGTCGACTTGGCCAAGCTCATTAAATTACTTTATGCTAATAAAGCCTGATCCAGTGACCACTAGGTTTCTCTGGCGTTGGGTTATCTTCTGCTTCTACCACATCCCCTTCCACCTGCCATTTTTTGAATACATACTATGTGCCAGGTACTGTGCTAGGAGTTGGAGGTATAGAGGTGCGTAGGTCTTGGCTAGTAAGGAGCATTCACTCTGGCAGGGGAGGTAGCCAGATAATCAGAAAATTGCAGCACAGAGTACTAGGTGCTATAAGTATAGCAAACCTTGGAACCAACTACTGGGGTTAGAACCATGCTCCACTGCTTGCTAGCGATATTACTTAACCTCTCTGTACTTCGATTTCCTCATGTGTAAAAAGAGGCTAATAATAGGACCTACCTCATGGGGTTGTAGTGAAGGTTAAAGAGTCAGTATGTGTAAAGTGCTTGGAACAGTACCTGACACATAGTAAGTACTCAATAATTGCTGGCTTTTACAGGGCCCAGAGGTGACACAAAGGAGAGGGCTGTCTGAATCCAGCGGGCTTCTCTGGATTTTCCTTTTACTTCCGTGTGATTGGTCACTGCTGAAGCCTCTTGCTTACTTTAAGCCCTATGCTTAGCCAGGAAAGGTGTGGCCCCTCTCCCCAGAAAAAGATCCTGCTCACTCTCGCACTGTGCTGCCTGCAGTTTCAGGGGCTTCACAGACCGCTCCCTCTTTGGAGCCATGCCATGGTCCCCTGAGTTGGGAACCCTTAAGATAGAGGGCTCAGCACAGCCTCTGAGTCAGAGAACCTCTGCCCTTTCCCACTGCTGCACTTGCTTTGAGTTTGGTTCCAGCTGCCAACTGAACTTATGTTGTTGGTTTTCAGGCCCTTCTCTGCCCCCTGGTGGTTCTGGCTCAGCCTGACTGGCGTGAATCTGGCTGGTGCTTTAGGGGTCAAGTTTGTTGGCCTCTTTGTCATCCTGCAAGTGGGGTGGAACACTGTTTCAGACCTTTGGCACCTGTTTGGAGACCTCAGTCTTTCATTGGTGAGCACCCAAGTGTTTGTAGAAATGTCTTTGCTCCCTGTTATTGCTCAGCAGAGCCAGTGGCCTTTCTCTGTCTCTGCTGTAGGCGGCAGAGTGGGTGTGTTCTGGGCCCAGGGTGGGCTGGATCTGGCTGCCCTCTGTAGGCATCATGACAGCAGGGAGTGGGCCATGGCTGAGAGGCCAGAGAGGTATAAAGGGAGAAGATGGACTAACATCCTTGGAATTCTCTTTTGGCATTTGTTTCTGTTTTGTTTTTTAAATGCTCTACAAACTACCCAGCCAAGGAATTCTGTCCAGCTGGGCTCATGCCAAATATATGGCAGACCCTGACTGCATGGGACCTTAGGTAAACGTCCCACCTTAGGTGGGATGACTTTCTGAACTCACAATTTTTTTTTCCTGACCCAGGGTCTCCAGATTTGGAGGCCAGTAAGGGCCTTTAGGGTTTATTACACTATTATTTATTAAGAGCTGATTTTGTGTCAGGCACTATTCAAAATGCTTTACCTTCATATCTCATTTACTTCTCATAACAATCCTTTGAGGTAGGTAGTTATTACCCTCTCTTTACAAATGAGAAACTCGAGACCTAGAGAGGTAATAAGGTTCCCAAGGTCATACGAGTAGTAAAAGGTAGATCTAGGATTCAGACTCAAGGGAGGCTAACTCCAGGCCTCAACTACTTTGCTATACTGCTTCTCCATCACCTCTGAACTAAAGTCCCAACAAGTTTGTTTTTTCATTCAGAAAATATAGACAGACCATCCACTGAGTGTGAAACACGGAATATACAGATGAATAAAACAAAGATTCCTGCCCTCTAGAGACAATGGAGAGAGAGAAATAAATTAACAGGCAATTATAATCTGGCCAACAAGTACTGTGAGAGCAGAGGAGAGCACCAGCCCAGTCTCAGGCGATCCAGGAAGGCTTCTGGGAGGAAGCTGAGGCCTGAAGTTAAAATAAGGAGCAGTTGTCCGTGTGGTGGGTGGGGCTAGCACAGGAAGCATGAGGAAGTACAGGGAGTTCAGTGTGACTGGGATGTAGAGGGGACTAATGAGTGACAATGCTGAAGATGCAGGCAAGGCCTTGTCGGCAGCACAGTGACAGTCTTCCTGGGTGAGGGCCTGGACAGGCAGCAGAGGGCTGACCCATGTTCAACCCCCTGCAGTGCTTGGGTGGTGGGGTGTTATGGAAAGGCTTAAGGTTTACACATATTCTTCTTTCTTGTTGGCCATTAGTGTTTTAACTTTTTATGATATGATTATACATGAAAACTTGTGTGTAACGCACATATAAGGCATGAGGAATGCCTAGCACCCCACACTGGCTCTGTTTGCAGGTAACCGTGGGAAAACACCTGACTGCTCGTATCCTCTGCCTCATAGTGCTGCCCCTGGCTCTCTACACAGCCACTTACGCTGTTCACTTCATGGTGCTGAATAAAAGGTACAGCAGAGCCTTTCCAGACTCTTGCTTCTGGTCTTCTCTTGCCTCTAAGCCCGTGGATGGGCCATGTGATTTCCTTGGTCTGTGGTTGGGATGGTAGGAGGGAGACCCAGGGTTTTTTCCTGTTTGTTTCCTCCTATGTTCTATCTTTTGGGTATCCAAAGGGCTCAGAAAGGCCAGCACCCTGACCTGAAGGAAGAGGAGAATTTCCTAATAGCTAAACTGCCCTTTATCTTTAAACAAAGTCCCTTGTGCTTAACAGGATGGGCCACCATAGGGGCGTGCAGTTGGAGTGAGGATAATAATACAATAACACCAGCTGCAGCTCCCATTTCACAAATAGCTGCTGAGTATCGAGAACTATGTTCAGCATTTTGTGCACATTATCTCATTTAATCATAATCATTTTTGAGTTCTTTTGATTTTTTTTTAAATTCTCAATTTATAAATGAGGAACAGAGGCTAAACCGAGTTAGGTACTTCCTAAGGTCACCTTGCTAGTAAGTGGCTGAGTTGGGATTTGGACCCCAGTTTCTCTGACTCTATCACCTGTGTCTGTCCCCTGATAGCACACTGCCACTCCGGTTGTACCTCTTGTAAACTAACTGCACAGAGCTCTTCCTAGGGTTCCTAGGAAATCACAAGTTCACTCCGTTAACTTGGCTGTCTGCTGCTCCTCCTTTCCCCACAGTGGTCCTGGTGATGGTTTCTTCAGTTCTGCCTTCCAGGCCCGGCTTTCAGGGAACAACCTTCACAATGCTTCCGTCCCTGAACGTGAGTGTCTCTTGGCCTTTACGAAGGTAGAAGGCAGAAGGGTTTCCTGGGAGTTGAATTGGAAAACACGAGTATGATAGCTTGAGTTTTTTTAGCCTGTATATGGCAAAGTGGGAGAAAGATCCAGTTAGATCTCGTATGAGCATTCAAGAGAGGGAGTCGGGGCACAGGAAGTGCAGAGGAAGACGTCCTGAGCTATGAGCTCTTTGACCCTAAGGAACAACTTCTCCGTTGTGGCGGAGGAAGCATCCAGGCCAGCTCTGTGGGAAGGCCAGCCGGAGAGAATCTGGTGAAAGAACAAGGCCCTTCAGGGCTAGTGGTCAGTTTCCACCACAGTGTTCTGTGACTCACATCCGTTCACTTATTCACAGATAGTAACTGAGCAAATGTTAACCACACTGGAGGCTATAGATGGATGCCTTCCGGAGTATAGAGTCTAGTGTAGAGGGTCTCTACCTGATATGACCGTGTGTGTTAAGTATATAAAGAGGGAACACAGAGCTATGGGAACCGAAGGTGTGAGAGATCACTTCTGCCAGGGGGTTGGAGGGGATCAGATGTACATAGAGTAAGTTGCCTTGGAGTCAGGCCCTGGAAGAATGGGTAGATTTCAACAGATGGAGAGGAAGGAGAGGGCATATTGGGCAGAAGGGACAGCATGATCAAAGCCAAGAACAGGGAAAAACCTAAGGCATAGGTTATGTGCAGAAAAGTACTGGAAGATAAGGTTGAAAAGATAGGTTGGGCCCAGATTATGAGGGTTTGAAAAGTTTGGATGAGGTATTCGAGTTCATTAAACAGACAGTGGAGACCCAGGGGGAGGTCTTTGAGCAGGGAGGAGGCCAGGAAAGCTGTACTGTAGGGAGATGACACTGGTGGAAAAGTATAGGATGGGTAGGGAGGAGATGGGATTGGAGGCTGGGGATATCCTCTGGAAAGCTATTGCAGGGACTTGAGTTGGGCATGGTGGTAGCAGCCACAGGGGAAGGGAAACTGGCAAATACAAGAGAGATTGGACATGGAAAGCGAGGAAGAAAGATGTCACTGAGGACTTGAGCCCAATCGCTGAAGACTTGCCTTTCCTGAAGTCAAGGACTATGTATTTCAGTCTCTCCAGTGCCTTGCATGGTGCCTAGAACACCGTGGGCCCTCCAAGACCATGGAAAGAATGAGAAATAGGAAATCAGGTAAAAAAGTTGGTTTGGAAAGGCCGATATTGGGTTCCACATTTGAGAGATTGACTTTCAGATGCTTGGGGAAATCTGTGCAGTGGGGCCAGCAGGCTTGGGGCTGATGCTTTCAAAGGAGGAATCAGTTAAGTAAAGTGGTAATTAATGCTGTGGCAGTGGCTGTGATCTGTAAGGAAACTGTAGAAAGAGAAAGAGAACAGGGCTGAGGTCAGGTCATTGGGGAATGCAGGAGGAAGGAGGTAGAGGAGGAGCAGTCCGTGAGGGAGTATGGGATTGGGAAGGGGGAACACAGAGCATTTCAGGAAGCAAAGGTGGTCAGCAGTGTGCAGGGCTGCATATGTTGGCCTGCAAGAGAACTTAGAAAAATAGAACTGTGAAGTTTAGCAAATTCCTACTCATTATTTAAAATGCCTAGCTCAGCTGTGATCTCTTCCATCAAGCCATCCTCTTTTACTCTTTGGGTGAGAATTCATCCTACACTGCTCTGGGCTCCCACATGTCACACATTGTCACACCTTTGCTGGAGCATTTGCCCACTGTCCTGTGTCCCGGTTCAGAGCCAAGACTGGGCTCTGCCAGGGCCGCAGCCAGGCCTCCTCCACTTCACTGTGTAATTGATATAGTGTGTTGACCAAATGAATGAACAAAAGGAGACAGGAGTAGGCCATTGTTGGTGGACCTGTTTCAGTGGAGTCAGGGTTGGTGGGGCAGCCAGATTACAGGGGGTTGAGAAGAGGGACAGTAGTAAGGAAAAGAGGCTTCTCAATAACCCAGGGCCTGCGAGAGGAGGGGATGCTCTTGGGTAAGCTGTTCACTCTGGGGTGGTGGTGTTTTTTTTTAATTCAGTGTAAAAAACCCCCAAACACCATTGAACAGTTACTTTGTATGGTACTAGATTCAAAAGGCACAAAAGGATATATAGTGAAAAGTCTATCTTAACAGTCTATCATAACATTATATCTTGGAGAACATTCCAGATGAAGACGTAAAATGCTTCTTCCTTCTTTATTCCACTGAATGTATGTATAGACCTTGACTGAAGGACAAGTTGTTTCTAATCTTTTGCTATTACAAACAGTGCCTTGATAGTAACATTGTTAATACCCAGCTTCTTCTGAAGTCCTTAGGAGGGAGGGGGGAGGGCAGCGCATAAGTGAGACCCGGTAGTGAACTCCCTCTTGAGTAGGCTCCATTGGAGTGAGAGGGCCACTGGCATTCTACTTTAGACAGCCATGGAGTCTGTTAGAGCGTTACTGAGTCCTGTGGCTTCGGAGGCCCCTCCCAGTCAGGGGCAGCCTCTAGCACGGTGCCAGCGCCCACCCTCCACTGTCTTCCTTCCCCCCAGACCTCGCCTATGGCTCTGTGATCACTGTGAAGAACCTGCGGATGGCCATCGGCTATCTCCACTCCCACAGGCACCTGTACCCTGAGGGCGTTGGCGCCCGCCAGCAGCAGGTCAGTGAGCCTCTGTGCACTTGTGTTGCAGCAACACCAAACTGCCGTGACTGACTCCGCCATTCTCTTTCTTGCTTCCTGTTCTTTTTCTGTGCTGTTTCCTTGCTTGAAGCATTCTTCCTCCTCCTGCACCCTTCTCTTTCTTCTGGCTAACTCCACCTTTTTAGGCTTCAGCTTAGGTTTCCCCTCTGACCATCATGACCCACCTCTACCTGGTGCTGGGTTAGGTGCCTCTTGTATGAGGGGCTTTCTTGGCACCCTTTACAGGTGTGTGTGGTAACCCTTTTCACATCGAATTGTGAGTGCTTGTCTCTTCCTGTCTCTTTTCTACATGACTGCTAGCTCCTGGAAGGCTCCAGTGCCTAGCACCGTGCCTGGCATGAAGGGGATGATGGGTTTGAATCCTGGTTCCATTAGAGTATGACTTTGAACAAATTCCTTAACCTTTCTGTGCTTCAGTATCCTCATCTTTAATGGGGGAAAATATGTAGTACCTCTCTCCACCATAGGATTGTTGTGAGGATTAAATGAGATAATACATGTAAATTGCACAATGGAGGGTTAGCCATGAGTGTTTTCTGAATGAGTGAGCGACACCATGTCAGTGTCCATGTTAAGGAGTGTTAGGTGTGGCTGTGGTGGACGGTGTCTGAGGGAGAAGAAGAATGTTGGAGAGGTTGGTGGGGCCAGATTGTGGAGAGGCCTTACATGTTACAGTAGATTCGACTTCATTCTGTAGACACGGGGAGGCATTGAAAGTTATTAAGGAATGGAAAGATGCGATTAGATTTCTAGTTTGGAAAGATAATTCCAGCAAGAGTGTGATGGATTGACAGGGGAGACAGACTGGAGGCAAGGAACCAGGTAGGCGGCAATAATCATGACAAAGGATGGTGACTGGAGTCAAAGACCATGGGAATAGAGGTGGGAACTGAATCAGGAAACACTTCACAGGTCGAATGTCAGGGCCTGGTTACTGATGGATGTCAGGGATGAGCTAAGTGCAGGTCTATGGTTTGGAGGTCAAGGTGTATGTGTGATAATGCTGTTTCACCATAATCAGAAATGGAGGAGGCGGAATGGCTTTGGAGATGAGAGAGTTTCCTTTGTATATTTTAGGTATGGGGCTTGTCTCAGGAGAGAGATGTGAGTGTGTAGCCTGTGGGTGTTAGCGACACAGTGGTATGGGTGACATTGCCCAGAAAGGATGTGCAGAGGGAGGAGAGCCAGTGAAGGAACCCTGAGGAACAGCAGCATTTAAGGCAGTGGTAAAGGCACTAAGAATGGTGCTAGTAGAAGAGGCTCAGAAGGAGGGATTGAACAGGGAGGTTGGAGGAGAACTAGAGGAGAGTACAGGGAAGAGAGAGTCTCCAGGAGGTGGAGAGCGTCAGCAGTTCAAGTGCTGCAAGACCTCAGCGAAGGTGAGGCCTTTGAACGGCAATATAGGAGGCCTGTAACTGACCAGGATAGTTTCTGTGGAGTGGTGAGGGCAGAAGTCTCAGAGGCAGGGCCGTAAGAAGTAATGAGAGATGAGGAAGTGGAGGGTGTAGGGCAGGCTGTTGTTCTGAGAAGCTTGGAAAAGAAGTTTCTCTTCTTGCAAAATGATCAATATCTTTACTTTGCAAAAAAACTTTGCTTCTCAAAATACTTTATTATTATTTCCTTATGTACTAGTTTATTAGAAAGTTGACCCAGAGTATTGGGTTTTAGTATCAGTTTCTCATTCTTGATTCTCCACTTATCTCTAGCCCAGTGGTTCTCAGCCCTGGCTGCACATTAGAATCCACTGGAGAGCTTTTAAAAAATTCTAATGCCTTGGCTCCACCCTAGAGATTCTGACTTAATTGGTCTAGGATGGGGCCCATGTATTGTGCATTTTCGTTTTGGTTTTAAGGTCTCCAGAAGAGTCTAATGTACAGCCAGGGCAGAAAACTACAGCTAGTCCTTCCATGGTGATGCCTTGCTACAGGCATCATGTAGAAGATCAAGTTACAGACGTGGTGACCAGGAACACTTACAGTGGGCAAGGGGAGAGAAAGGCCGAGTTCTGAAAGGCTGTATTAAGCTTGTCCTAGTGTTTGCAGCCCGTGTGTGGAGGCATGAAATCATGGTGGTATAGAGGGACCTCACTGGGCCAAGGGACGGGAGCAACTGACTTTGTCATCAATTCAGCCAGTTTCATCATCTGTAAATTGAGGGGATTGGATTCAATAACCTATAGTGGCCCCCCCTGCCCTGCAATTTAATGTCTTGTCAACAACTCTAGGTCTCGATTTTTATATGTTTTTAAAGCATAATGTTTATAAAATAAAATTGGAAAATATAGAAAAGTATAAAAAAGAAAAGCTACATGTAATCCCAGAAGATCAGTGTTCATCCACACAGTTGGATGTACAACATCCTGTTGTAATAGGATACCTATGTTCCTAGGAGACTTCATGTTATAAAAAACTCCACTGTAAAAACAAGTGTTTCAATGGGAAAAAAAGGCCATGGACTATACTCAAAACCAAGAAGTAATTTTTCTTATAGGAATTTTAGTAGTAATGATTTTTGTAAAAAACAAAAATGCACAGGGTGCACACATGAGCACCACAAAGCCTTAACCTCCTTGGGCAGATTCAAGCTGGGTTGACTATATGTAGCTTTTGTTCAGGAGTGTGGACTTAATTTCTCTTTGGCTACCAAAACTTTTTAGCTTCTTGTTATTCTTAATACCATTATCCCTAATTTTTTTCTGAGAAAGCAAAAGCCACTGAAATAAAGCAGCCACAATACATGCGTAATTTTTTTCCTAAATGCTAATTTCAAATCTCTTTGCAAGTAAATCAGTCATATTTTGTCCTATTGGAGTTGTAAAAACTCACGTTGTAAGAGAAATGCCTATGTTTCTGTTGTTTCAGAGTGTTGATGTACTCGTTTACATAATTGACATAATTGTGTATAGTCTCTATCCTGGGAGCATTGGAGTTAGCTGCCTGGGTTTGAATTCTGTCTCTCCAGCTAATAAGCTGTGTGACATTGAGCAAATTACTTAACCTCAGTTTCCTTGTAAGTATGGTAGGGATAAGCACAGTACATACACATAGAGATAAGACTTGCCCAGTGCTTAGAACAGTACCTGGTTATAAGTGGTAGCCATTTTTAGCATCAGCGTTTTGTAAGCCTTATCCTATGCTGGTAAAAAATGCTCTGAAACATTTCCTGTGGCTGTGTAATATTCTGTCCTGTGGACATACCGTCATGTTAACTATTTCTCTATTATTGGACATTTATACTGTTTCCAGGCTTTTGCTGTTAGATTAATCACAGTGTTACATGCACGTGCACATGCATACACACACACACACACACACACATAATTTTAAAAAATCAGTGTATGCAAAATGGCTATGGGCTAAAACTTCAGGCTTCTGGGACAAGATATTTATGGAGCTCTTTAGTTTCATTTGGCCACACCCTAGAAAATATAATAGCATGCATTTTTCATTTAGAAAGTTTGAGACATGATCTTTGTGTGCTGGAGACTGTGTTACACAGGGTATCATGGTCCCTCCCTCTAGGAGGCTGGAACTTTAAAGACGAGATGCAGAAAGATACAGAGACAAATCAAAAAGGCCCTTGTGGGAAAAGGCCTCTAAATGCAGAAGGAAGGAGAGATTATCCCTCCCCAGTGCTACTTCTGAGCCCCACTGGGAAACATGGCCCCTTGGGTCGGTGGCTGGGAATTCTGAACGAGGTTTAGCAATGTTGGTTTGCTGTTGATTGTCCTGTGGCTGGCTGTGCTGATAGTGATGGTGTTCTCCCTCCCACTTCTTCCTCCCTCCCCCACATTCCCACCCAGGTCACCACCTATTTGCACAAGGACTACAACAACCTGTGGATTATCAAGAAACATAATACAAACTCAGGTAATGTGGTAGGGAATTGATGCTTCATGTGTTATTACTTACTTTGAGCCCTCCTTAACATTTCTCATGCCTCCAGAAGAATGCTACTACGATGGGCTTTCCTGAGCAGTCTTTGACTGCATCTTTGCTGATCTCAGTTACCCTTTCAACAGTTATTTGTTGAGCGCCTACTGTGTTACAAGCACTATTGTCGGCATAGGGGATAAGCAGTGAGCAAGACAGGTAAGATCTTGCTTGTAGAGCTGTCCTTTTGAAGCTAGAGAGCAGGGCCAAGGCTCAGACTTGATCCAGAAGAGGTTACCTGGACATGCTGCCAGGGGCTGGTGAGTAGCCCCAGCTGAGGCTGCTGAGGCAGCCCCATAGCGGCTGTTCTCATTTCTGATTTAGAGCACACCAAGCCTTGCAGACACTTGAGCTGCAGCATATGGTTGTCTTGATGTGATAGAGTGCTGCAGTCATCCCTGGACTGGGCCAGTCAGTTGTGGATCTGAGGGCCTGCCGCCCTGTGGCCAGGCTTGTCTAGGCTGGTGCCTGGGACCTCACTTGATGCCTGCTGGTCTGCCCCTGACGGGCCTGGGCAAAGCTGTTCTGAAGCACACCTGTCGGGCTCTCAGGGCTTTATGACATGGGCTATGTCTGGATCTTCCTTTCTTTGGTCAGACAGCTAGCTACCTGCAGGCTGTGCCTTCTGCTGCAGCCGAGAAGAGAACAGAGCATCTCCTGCTCAGTTCTGAGCCCCTGCTGATTGTCCTATGCCACAGGTATTCCCGGTGACTCCTCAGCAAACACCACCTGGCTCAGCCTGTCTCGAGTCAGCTGCTCCTGAGACTTTGTGGGGAAGTGGGCAGCTGCTCATCTAAATTCACCTTCTTTGTTCTTTTCCCCACCTCCTTTTATTGCCATGGTTTTTAGACTAGAAATGTGGCATACATAACCACTGTCTTTGCATCTTTGGTAATATAAATTATGACACCGTTGGGCAGGATCTATTTCTATACCTTTATAATACTGGTGTCAATTGTGTTTTGATCCAACAGGCCAAACATAAGTGGTCTATCACAACGAGAGGTTATGAGGAAAGACCAGCTTTACTTCTGAAGTCACGTGGGCACGGACCAAATCTTTGAATATCCTTGGTGTGTCATTCCATCGTGGCTTCTTGGTTAAGACAGTTGCATTTCACCCAAGTGACTAAGGATTGGTGTGAAGGCAGATAGCTACAGGCACTTTGGGTAGTGGGAACTGTATAGACTAAGGTCTTTGTGTTCTTGATGGTTGTAAACATCCCTCCCCCTCAAATCCATGTGAAATAAAACTTCCCTCCCCATTGACTTATGTGATTTGTCATCTTGCTGATTAATCTCTTTAAGAGACCTTAAAAGCCCACATAGGAGTGGGCATCTCTACAGCTGAGTTCTCTAATTCTCTTGAGAGCCAGTGATTTGTGCTGGCAAATGTCTCTTTCCTGACCTTGAGTGTTAGCGTCTCGCTGTTTGGAACAGAAATTTGCAAGGATCCTTCTGTGTTGCTATTACTACTGCTGATTCCTTTCCCATTGTCATCACCTTTCTAGATCCTGATCGATCTTGACTTCTAGATAATACAGAAGTAGTCCCTTTCTTTCATCATTTCCTTACTTTCTTCACCTCACACTGAGCAAGTGTATTGCCAGAGACAAGATAATCACTGGTAAAATATGCAGGGTTTAACATTCGATTTTGAAGAAAGCTGGGCAAATGGTCATTTGCATGGAATTAATTTTTGGAAAACTCTATTTTTACTACTGAAAGGAAAATCTTATTATTTGGCTTCCCAGCTTAAAAATCCTCCAGAGGGGGCTTCAGTGACTGTCACGTAAAGGCCGGACTTCCTAGCCTGGCATCCACAGTCTGGCCCCACTTGTTCACATCCTCATCTGTTCCCACTCTCCTTCCTGCCCACCCACCCTAACCATGTGAAACCATTTGCCATTGATCAAATGAGTTTTGTTCTTTCATACCTCTGTCCTTTTACCCTCCTTGTTCACCTGACAAGATTTTCCCCCTCCGTTAAGTGTCTTTTCAAGACACCCTTCTCTAATCCTCTGAGACAGTTAGGGGCCTTTCTCTTTGGTCTCACAGCACTGTCGGTACCTCTAGCACTTACCATGTTGTACGATAACTCTTTACCTATAGGCCCTCGATTCATACTAGCCTAATGAGTGAATGATTTCAGATATCAATGATTGTTTCTTCTGGGCAGATCCCCTCGACCCTTCATTCCCCGTGGAGTTTGTAAGACATGGAGACATCATTCGCCTAGAACACAAAGAGTAAGTATATTTGTTGTTTGGGATAAATGAGTGGTGTGGACACCAGAGATAGGGAGTTCTTTTAAGCTGGAAACAAACAGAAGTCAGATTTGGATGAGGCTCCAGTAAATGGAACAAGACTGCTGTGCTGGAATGGGAGAACCATTTTATGAAGGTTGGTGAAATAAGCAGGCCAGCCTTTGCCAGCCTATTTTGGCTTTCAGGAGCTTTGAACTTCGAAGGTACCTTTCAGTTTCCCTTTTCCTAGAGGAAAAAAGAAAAAATTTGAGTTGCCCAAAGCTGCTTCTTAAGTGGCTGCCTTTAGGAAGACATTAGAGTCTGTTTCTGAGAGTACAGCAAACTAGTTTAAACAACCAATGTTCTCACCGAAAATGACTAAAAATGCTGGAATAATATAAAAACATCTTCTTGAAAACATCAAAGAGTTGACAAGACAGTAAGGAGTTACCAGACCAAATTCTAAGTGAAAGGGGGAATCCAGAGAAATAAGTGGGACACTGAGGCCACTTCTCACAGTCTTTGGTTTTGACTGCCTCTTGAGAGAAGGAGTTTTAAAATCAAAGCTTCAGGAGCCAGCCCTGGTGGCCTGGTAGTTAAAGTTTGGCGTGCTCCACTTTGGAGGCCTGGGTTTGGTTCCTGGGTGCAGAACCACACCATTCGTCTATCAGTAGCCATGCTGTGGTGGCAGCTCATATAGAAGAACTAGAAGGACTTACAACTAGAATATACAACTATGTACTGGGGCTTTGGGGAGGAAAAAAAAAAAAAGAGGAAGATTGGCAACATTTGGTAACTCAGGGCGAATCTTTCCCAGCAAAAAAAAAAAAATCAAAGCTGTAGGCTCACCTGAAGTGGTAGATTTAAGTGATTCTTCCCCAAAATTTGGAACCCCAAAAGACTTAGGGTAAGGATAAATCTGCCCTATCCACCTGCATCCAGGAAAAGTTAGTTTGGCACTAAGCTGAGTGTGTTTGGGAGGGCTTGGAAAGCGGGCAGGGGTGGGTGAGGGTGACTTGTTCCTGAGAAGTTGTAACTACCAGTTGATCCTCACATGGATTTGCAGCCCAAATTCATTTCACCTGGATGGTCTCAAAATCTTCAAGCCATGAATTTAAATGAACATGATCCTAGACTGGTAGTGTCTGCTAGGTGCCTGGCTAAAAGCGAATGTAAATCCTCTTTTGGGAAAGATGACGTCATCCATTTCCATACATAGTTTTTCAGTGACAGTAAATAGTACACAGTCGAAAATAACTAAGCACACAAGGAAATAGGATACCATGTGCAAGAACGAACAGGAACAATAGACAGCAGAAGCAGCCCTGCAAAAATTTTGTACACTGGAATTATCAGATACAGATTTTTTTAAAAATCAGGGAGTATATATATATATAGAGAGAAAAGCTATGAGCAGTGGTTTTTTCTAGTTAGTAGCATTATGGATACTTAAAATTTTTATTTTATTATTATTAACTTTATTAATAAATTAAAATTTATGTATTATTAAGTTTTATTTTTGCAAATTTTCACAATGAAAGTTACTTCTTATTATGGATAAAAGTAAGGATTATTATAAAAAGCACAAAGTAAATAAAAGCTAAATTAAACCCCCCACAGATCCCCACTTTATAAAACTGGTGGTGGAAGTAGAAAGAGTAAATGGAAGGGAGGAGATTTCCCTATCTCAGGCATAGATTGGAGATTACAAATTTCAATTTCCTTCTCCTCAAACCTATGTTATAAGGCAGGCAAGCTAAGTGCTTCAAAGCCACCACATGTGTTGTCACCACCCCCCACCTGAAGTTCGCCCCTTTTTTGGCATGGAGTCCAGTATCCCATCTGTCCCTCCTGGTTTGGAGAATTCTCCAGTTCTCTGGGTATTTCTTGTGAGTAAATAGGCAAGAAGTTCCTGATATGTTGGACTTATAGTTCAGATTCTAATTTTTCTTATCCTAACAGGTGACTCTGAGTGTCCTTGGAAAAAGAAGAAACATTGCACATCTCTTTTCTTCAGGATAACGGGACTTCTCTCTTTTAACTTCCAGGACTTCTCGGAACTTGCACAGTCACTATCATGAGGCCCCTCTGACGCGGAAGCACTATCAGGTCACTGGCTATGGCATAGTAAGTGAGCAACTGGAGTCTGAGCAGGATGTAAAAAACTGTGGGGCTTGGCTTAGGGCCTTGTGGAACACATGGGGAAACACATCCTCCCCAAAACTCTGAAATGTTCCTAAGAATTGGGGGCTGCACAGGGACTCTCTTGACATTTGGGAACTTTTTGGCTAGGCTTGCTGTGGGAAAAGCAGCCTGTGAAGTCTGTTTGTCTCCATCTCTCTCCTCTCATAATAACCATTCCATTTTTATGTTCTGACACTTAATAAATGTCAAATATGGATACTATTTGGGTTCCTTTTAAAATCACATTGGGCATAGGAGCCACGGACCCACAATATGACCCCAGATGAATATGTAAGTTTACCCATTGCCAGATCCCAAATTCTCTTTGGCTTTATTTTTAAGGATTACTTCTCTGTTCTGCAGAGGGATGTTAACCATATTGCTTTTGGATTTTTGCTGCCTTGGGGTGATGCAGTTAATAGAGGAAGCTCTATGAGTACTTATGGCTTGGGGAGTAATTTGAAAACAAAAACAACTAGTAGGCAACTAGACTTAGGACTATGAGTTACATTCTTCTCCAGGGCCGTTGATACATCAGTAAAGATTCTGGGTTCCTTAAGATGGACTTCCCAACCCTCTTTCTATTTGCTTGTCTCATAGTGTACTAGAGCCAAGACTCTGAACTTCATCTTTTTTCTTGTGGGCATCCCCTGAGGAGAATTAGACACAACTGTCTTAATTTCCAGACTATGATATCCAGGCCAGATGTTCCTGGCTTAGATGAGTGAGTGTCCAGATGGCCAAGGTAATGGATGCAAATGGCCCAGATCTATTTATTTCTTTTGGCCCATAGTGGTGTCTTGAGTTTGGTTTACAGGCAAAAATATCTATTGAGAATTTAAACTCTAGTCCTATGAAGTGAAGAATTGGACTTCAGGTTCCAGGAGTTATACTACTATTCTTGGTTGTAGTAGTGAGTACTCGGGCAAAGTCCATCACTTGGAATATTTCTATGACCCTCTGTTCCCTTTCCCACCTCAGCATTGAGGCTGATTTGGTCTTTGACCTTTGTAAGATGGTGGCATCTAAAAGGGTGGCCATCTTCCTTTTCTGACACATCTTCTCTAGAGTCATCTTACTTTCTTTGTATTTTTTTCTTGATTTATATGGCAGAATGGGACAGGGGACTCAAATGATTTCTGGCGGATTGAGGTTGTAAACAGAAAATTTGGAAACCGGATCAAAGTGCTGAGAAGTCGAATTCGCTTCATCCATCTGGTCACAGGTTGTGTCCTGGGCTCTTCAGGAAAAGTCCTGCCCAAGTGGTGAGTCTTTGGGGTTTTCATGTTCCAGTCGAGGCTCACGCTTTCCTTTCACAAGGAATACGTCAGAAGCTTCCATTTCCCGATTGTCAATGTTCACCTCATGTTGCTTATTTTTAGTGGTAGATGGAGGGAGAAAAGGCATCAGGTGTGTTATAGAGCACAGAGCTCCAGAGTTCCTTTGGTGTTTTATGTGTTCTGATAGTTGAACATTTGTACATCTGGCTTATGATAACTTGCTGGATCTATGTGTCTTTCTAAAATGGGAATACTGTATGCTAGACTACTCCCAGGATAGTTGTGGAATAGAAAAGTGTGAGATTGAAAAAAGCATGGCCACTGGGTTGAAAAGAGAGGGGTTCCATGGATTTAAGAGCAGTCATCAGTGCTGCTCTCTGGTGGGTTTCAGGTCTTCTGAGAGACATCTGTCACTTTTTACAGGGGCTGGGAGCAGTTGGAAGTTACTTGCACTCCATACCTGAAGGAGACCCTCAACTCCATCTGGAATGTGGAGGACCATATCAATCCCAAACGTGAGTGAGATCACTTCCTGGGCTGGCTCTGAAGGGAAACATTTATAAGTAACTCTTATCTTAGAAAAATAAACCTTTATAGACTCTGCTGCCACGTTATCTTATTGTTGCCATTTTCTTCCTTTTTTTTTTTTTTTAAAGATTTTTTTTTTTTTATTTTTTTCCCCCCAAAGCCCCAGTAGATAGTTGTATGTCATAGCTGCACATCCTTCTAGTTGCTGTATGTGGGACTCGGCCTCAGGATGGACGGAGAAGTGATGCCTCGATGCGCACCCGGGATCCGAACCCGGGCCACCAGCATTGCAGCACGCGCACTTAACCACCAAGCCACAGGGCCGGCCCCATTTTCTTCCTTTTTAAACCTAATCTCTTCATATGAGTTGTCTAGATAGGTGCTCCTTCTTCTTCCCATCTACTTAACCTTCCCATTCGTCCCCTCCCTAAAGTGACCAGTGACCTCGCTTGCGGCCGGAGCTAGTGCCTCTTCTCGTTTTCCTTGCCTCTCACTGGATTTGATTCTTCTCCTCCTTGCCGCCTGTAGTGCAGGTCCATCTGTCTCGTCTCCTTCTGGGCTCTTCTGTCTCCTGCACCATGGGCATCTCCCTACCTTAAGGCTTAGAGGCTTAAGCCCCAGTGTAGAGCTCCTCCCCTCCCTACATCCAGCCAACACTTCTACAGAAAGCGATAGCCACAGCCCTTGATCTGATCCCCATATCTATACTCCAGGCTCCAATTGGACATTTCCGCTTTACTGTCATCTTCAACTCAGTGAGTCTTTGGGTTCGTCATCTGTCCTCCTAAACTACCCTCTTCAGGCTTCTGCTTGATGTCTCCTCTCTGTGCTTCCCACTTTGTTTGTTTTACCGCCTAATTTAACAAACCAGCTAATTAATTAACTAATTAGACAACTCTTTATTGAGTACGATGGGAACCATGTGGGGCCCTGGGGATCTACTGGTGGATCAGATAGACTTGGTCCCTGTCCTCACAGACCTTCTGCCTGTTGGAGGAGAGCAGCATTTGAGCCAGTACCACAATGAAGAGTGATGGTGCCGAGAGATATGGGAGCACCAGGGGACACGCCTTGTCGTCTGTTGCTTTTGTATTTCTCAGAATGCCTGATGAATACTTAATACAACCTAAATGAAGGATCAAGAATTGGGCTAAGCTTTCTTCCATCGCCTCAACACTCTCCCCTACTTGTCAGTCAGCTTGTCAGGAAGGCTACCCCCAGATTCTGGCAGCAGTGTGAATACCATGGATAGCCGTGAGAGAAAATGTGTGACAAAGGTTTTCTCCTCTGTCATTGCTTTTTCTAGTGCCAAACATCAGCCTGGATGTGCTGCAGCCCAGTTTTCCTGAGATCTTGCTGGAGTCCCACATGGTGATGATCCGGGTACTGTGGCCCTCTCCATTTGATAACTTCTCTAAGAGCTCTTGGCTATCCACAAATTTGGATCACAAATCACTAGCCATGGTATAGATCCACTGCCCCCTTGTGGAGGACTCTGAAAGTGTCCTCCACTGAAAGTGTCTTCACTTACTGGTTTACTTGGTCTTCAAAGGCATTTCCCTTATCACAGAATGATGATGGTGATGATGATGATAACAATGATGACACCAGTGAACACTTCTGTAGCTCTCACGTTCCAGGCACTACTCTAAGCACTGTACCTTTATTAACTTATTTAATACTTATTACAGTCCTACAGAGATTATTGTTCCTAGTTTACAGATGAGGGAATTGAGGCAGAGAGGTTAAGGAACTTGCCCAAGGTCACGCAGCTAAATGTAAGAGGTGGATCTAGGCTTCAAAGCCAGGCTTATGGGCTTTCAGAGTCAGTGCTAGTTACTACTACACTCCTCTGCCTCTAAGTGAGTCTCAAATCTGTTCAAGTGGCAGAGCCCCTGAAAATCAGAGTGCTCTTGGTTGAAGATCATGAGACATTCATGGTTCATACCATCATATGACGTCAGGATCAGTTAGGATGAATAGCTAATTTGAGTGTGTTGCTTGTATGCAGCATAAATCCCGACTGTGAGCCCACTCCTGTTCCTGGACAGAAACTCACTGTTTAGGGGGCATGGTTGATTCTTTGTAAGGTTTTCTAAGACTCCTTGTTTTTACTCTCTATCTTAGCATCTTATCTTATCTGTCGTAGCATCAAAGGTTTAAGAATGATTAAGAGAGGAAATCTTTAAATTGAGAAAATTCTACCCACTAGCTTAAATTTTCCCCTGTGAATTGGAGAAACTCTGCTGCAGTTTTGATGTTTAGGGGAAGACCCCTTCCCTCTGATTTATGGAAAACCAGTGTTCTGCAGGAACGATGTTTAAGAAGCACTGTATCTGAAGCCAGATCTGTGATTATCACTCCACCCACAGGGTTGCAGAGAGGTGTAGCAGTTGTTATTTTCCCTTAGTGAGCCATTGTCAAGTGGACTTTTGTGGAAGTGATTATGTAAGCAGTGCTCAGTAAATATAGTTGACTTATTTCACCAGATTAAATTGAAAAATTCAAATTTTGTCATTTCTGCACATTGGGAGGTGATGAGTTGACATTAAGCAATCTCTGGGTCACTTCTTCTCTGACTCTCTGCTTGTAGCTGTCACTGTGTCCTGATGGCATGGCTCTTTTGAATATGTGCCTGTCAGTCAAAATACCATTCTAGGTCTCGGTAGAATTTTAAGACTAAGTCTAAATAGTCTCATTTCTTCTTTCATTATCTAAGAGGTAGAGTCAAAGAAGAAAAGGGACATAAGGGAGTTTTCTTATTCAACTGATGTAGAGTCAGGATGGGGCGAGAGACCAAAATAGTTTAGACTACAGAAAATGCAGGGGAGAGGGCTTTTCTGCCCTCTGAGTGGAGGGCCTAAGTCCGGGGCAGAGAAGGCTGCCACACCTGGTAAGTTTAGCTGGAATGAGCCCACTCTGGATTTTTAGCATAGAGAACAATGTACAAATGCAGATGCCTATAATGGTTACAGATTTTTCCTTCCTTCCAGGAAGGAAAGTAAGGAGCTGGATTTCTCAGTTTAATGTAGTGAATAGGATGCCCTTGGCTTGTTATAGCTCTGGCTGGAGTCCCTGAGTTTGGGACTGAACTGTACCGGTTTGAAGGAATTGATTTCCCTCAGCAGCTGCTCCGGGGTCCAGAATGATTCCTTCTTTATTCTGAGGCCCTTCAGATGGCGATAATGGTTCAGGGGCTGTACAGCTGGCCCCTTTGGGTCTGATACCCCTCATGGGACTTTTGACCTTGGGGGAGCAACGCAGTCACCATAGGGAGACCTGCAAATGATTCCCAACCCTTCGAGAAGTTGGATTAGTAAGGCACTGGGTGGTGGTTCACTGACCACCCAGTGAAGACCTTCTGGATCCTTCTTGGGCTAGATCAGTGGTTCTCAACAGAGAGCGATTCTGCTCCCCAGCAGATATTTGGTAATGTCTGGAGTCATTTTTGGTTGGCATAACTGAGGGGTAGGGGTGCTTCTGGCATCTAGTGAGTAGAGGCCATGGATGCTGAACGTCCTAGACTATACAAGACAGCCCCACACCAAAGCCTTCTCCAGCCCAAAATGTCGACAGTGCCAAGGTGCAGAATCCTCCATCTACCTCAGAGCACCTTACTCCTCTTCTCAGGAGATGCCTTCTCAGGTTGTCTTGATAATGAAATGACACCAGGCCTGCCTGGTGGTTGGTATCCTATCCTGATCCTTCTTATTTTAGCAAAGGCCTGATTTTGCTGTGTAGAAACATGTTGTTGCATTTTCTTGGCTACTGGATTAAAGGGGCTGAGTCTGGCTCCTTCAGGCTAAAATGTACATTATCACCTGCATGATATCACTCTCAGTGGGTAAAATGTGTTCTTGGAGGGCAGAAAACCTCTTAACTTTTTAATGTGTAAAGTATAGATATTCATACAGTATATCAACAGATTGACAGTATAGCTATGGTATTAAAATGTCATGGGAGGCATTTAGGAAAAAAAAGTCTAAAAAGTCTTGGGGAGGCAATAATGAAAAAAAAGTTGAGAAACACTAGGCTAAAGTAACTTTTTCAAAGTCCAGGAACTCATCAGGGTTTCTGGTTTGCTCTTTGAAATTGGCCTCCCGAGGGAACAAATAGGTCAGCCCTGATTTTATATCCCCCTACCAGCACTCTTGACACCTTATCCTTGGTCTGGAAGAGGGGTCTATGTTCTGTGCTCGTGGGCAACAGTGCCTCATTCCTCTTTCTCACCAGCATAGAGGACTGTCTCTGGTGGACATGGAGGCTTGCTGTTGGGAGCAGTAAGGCAGTTGTAAGCAGGTGGACAGCGACTGAGAATGAGTGCCTGATTCTTCCCTGTGAGGGAGGGAGAGGAGGGGAGTTTTCTCTTGACACTTGGCCATATATCAGCCATACCTGTGCCTCATATTTCTGTCAGCGCTCCAGATCTCTGCCTTGACTAGCTTTTCTTTGCCACTTTCCTGCAGGGGAACAATGGCCTCAAACCCAAGGACAATGAGTTTACATCCAAACCCTGGCACTGGCCTATCAACTATCAGGTAGGGCCCAAGGCTAGAGCTCCTCCTGGGAAATGGAGCCAAGAAAGGGACCGTTGAGACTTGGTGGAGATGGGGTGTGCTGGGGTGACAGGGCAAGGCCTCGCCTAGCATGGGGTGGCTAGAGACGGGGCTCTGTTTTCTGCCCGGATTCTGACCCAGCCTTCCCAGAGAGCTCACATAGAACTTGCACATTCTGAGCCTCCTGTCCAGGCTCTCTGTCTGTGAAAGGTAACCAGTCTTCCTCCCCCTGGAACGCATGTGGCTGGGATGAGCTGGGCCCTGGATCAGCAGAGTGTCCTCTGCTCCACAGGGCCTGCGCTTCTCAGGAATCAATGACACGGACTTCCGAGTGTATCTGCTTGGCAACCCGGTGAGTGCCCGGTGCGTCCCGGTTTGGGCCCTTGAGCCTTTGAGCTGTGCCTGTGGAGCGCTGCCGCTTTCCTCTCACCTCCTGTTCTCATTTCCACGCAGGTGGTTTGGTGGCTGAATCTGTTGAGCATTGCCCTCTACCTGCTCTCAGGGAGCATCATTGCTGTAGCTGTGCAGAGAGGGGCACATCTGCCTGCGGAGGTTGAAGGTCAGGTCCTTGGTCTCCCTCCCCTGACCGTCCAGCTGCCAGGGGTCTGCACTCAGGGGGCCCTGTGTGCTGATGGGCCATCCTTTGCCTTCACCCCCTACTCTTTCCCTTCTCTTTTGCTTTTTAAAGCTCACAGTCACCAAATGCCCCGGGCTATGTTAAACACTACATCCTCCCAACAATGCTATAGGGTAGGGATTATTACCCCCATGTTATGGATTGCAAAACAAAGGCACAGAGAAGTTAAGAAACTTGTCCCAGGACATATACTAGTAAGTGACAGAGCTGAGGTTCCAACCCGAGCAGTCTGACTTCAGAGCCTTCACTTTTCTCCTCTATGCTCTATGTAGAGCTGCCCTTCTTTTCTCTTCTGTCCCCTCCTTGTTCCATGGCCTTGTCCTTTAGTAGAGTACAAGGGGTAGAGAGGAGCCCCCAGGGCACGGTCTGTGGGTTCCCATCCTCTGCTGCCCCTGGTGACTTGAGCTGCCAGGCCATGGCCCACAGTATCTAAGACATTCACACAGGCTCTCTGCCCTTGCAGCTCCCTGTCTGAACAGCCATAGTTCTGGACCCCCCTCTCTCCCACCTCCGTCCTCATCTCTGACCTTGCCTCTGCCCTGTCTGCCACTGCAGAGAGCTGTGTGGCAGCAAAGATGTGGGAGATGGAGGGGAGGGGGGAAGCCATCTGTAGGGTGTGCAGGATTTTGGTTTCTTTAGAGGCTGGGCTGCCTTCTGTCCAGACACCAGCATCAGGCCTCCTGCTGTGTTTGACGCCCCTGCCATGGATGCTGACGCCTAACCGGGCTGGGGAGTGAGCAGGGCTTTCGAAAGCCAGTTACTCCTCTCTTCTGCCAGCTGCTGTCCAGTTGTTTGGCTTGGTTCAGATGAGGGAAGGAAGGCCAGATAGGATGATGTGGCTCATTCAAGTCACACAGCAAGTAAGGGGCAGAGCTAGACTAGACCCCAGGATCTCTTCCCCTCCCTGTCTGCTGACTGGGGCTGTGCTGCTTGGGCCCCAGGGCTGTCCCAGGTCCTGCTGCGAGGAGGCGGTCAGCTCCTGCTTGGCTGGACGCTCCATTACTTCCCGTTTTTCCTGATGGGCCGGATCCTCTACTTCCACCATTACTTCCCAGCCATGCTTTTCTCCAGCATGTTGACAGGTCGGTGCTGCCCACCGGGACTGGAGTGATAAGGGTGGGGGAGGGGGAGGAGGAAGAGGCATCGTGGAGCAGCGGTGCTAAGAGTGAATCTCTCTGCTCCCCTTACCTGGGGTGGCTCCTTTCTGCTGCATCTGCAGAAGTCATCCTCTGACAGACTGGCGCTAGGTGTCTCTTCTTTCCACCAGGCGTTCTGTGGGACACTCTCCTGCGGCTCTGTGCCTGGAGCCTGTCCTCATCTTCCCTGGCCAGGGGTGTACACGTGGTGGGAATTCTGAGCCTGCTCCTGGGAACTGCCTACAGGTGAGCATCCCCTACACCTTGCATTTCTGCCACCCACCCCCAACCCTGATGCCTCAGCCCTGGGTGCATTTTAGAATCCCCTGGGGTGCTTTAAAGATTTTATTTATTCATTTTTTTTCCCCCCAAAGCCCCAGTAGATAGTTGCATGTCATAGGTTCACATCCTTCTAGTTGCTGTACGTGGGACTCGGCCTCGCGTTGGACGGAGAAGTGGTGCCTCGGGGCGCGCCCGGGATCCGAACCCGGGCCGCCAGCATCAGATCACGCGCACTTAACCGCTAAGCCACGGAGCCGGCCCTTTTTTTTTTAAAGATTTTATTTATTCATTTTCCCTGGGGTGCTTTAAAAGCATACTGGTGCCTGGGCCCCATCTCCAGAGGTTCTGATTCAGTTGAGCCCAGTTTGGGCCCCATCAGCCACAGTTTTCAAAGCTCCCCTGGTGGCCCTAACGTGCAGCCAGATAGGAGAAACACAGGGCTAACTCTGCATTCTTTCCTTTTGCCCATGCTTCCCAGCGTTTGTATCACCCAGCACACCTGGAAGGGTGCCCCTCTTTAGTCACCGTGGCTCCCTACTGAAACAGCTCTCAGTGGGGTGAGGGAGAGGGTGGGTAGAGGAGCGTGGGGGGGTGTGGTGTGGCTCAGAATACCTGGAAGGAGGGAGTTGTTTGGAAGCTGCCTCTCCTCTCCTCACCTTGTCAGTCTCGCAGATCCCCTATTGAGAATCACTGGCCTTTAGGGGCCAGGGAGGCAACATAAAAGTGTGAACAGGGAATGGTGGAGCCTGTGACCTGAGAGCACTTCCCCATTTTAACAAATACTCTGGGCCAAACAGCCGGTGACTAGACCCCTGGACTGGTCTCTCCCCTGGGCCTCTTGGGAAGAGCACTTTCCTTTGTTGTCATTAAGTCAGCATCTACTAAGCTCTCAGACTACAGTGTGCCCAAACGACAAACTCAGACAGACGTGGTGGTGAACAGGAATGGGTCTGGTAGGTGAAGATCTGATGAGCTCCAGGAGGAGGAGCTGCATTTCAAAGATCTGTAGGGCCCCCTGCCGCTGCTGAGGCCCTGGGATGCCAACGGCCTCCCTTTGGCTTCTCTCTCACAGCTTCTACCTCTTCCATCCTCTGGCTTATGGGATGGTTGGTCCCCTAGCCCAGGACCCCCGAAGTCCGATGGCAGGACTAAGGTGGCTGGAATCATGGGACTTTTGAGGCCGCTGCAAGGACCCCAGCCTGAGTCCAGGGACTTCCTGGGGACAGCGAGCTGTGAAGCCAGTCCCTGGACCCTCCCAGCTGTGGAGGAAGATGCTTGAGGAGTCTGAGGAGTTCTGCTGCCTGCCAGGACCAAGCTCTGGGAGCATACCCAGAATTTAACACAACACTGGAGAGAGCCATGGCTCTGTCTGCAGAGGTTCCACTGCTGGGGATGGCTCAGCAGCAGAGGACAACTCTCTCAGGACCGTTTCCCTGAATGTGCAACATGAGGAAGGATGAGTGTGCGAGAGAGTGGGTGTGAGTGTGTGGGAGTGTGAGGGTACATTTGTCCATATACCTGTGAAATACAGACCGTGACTGTGGACAGCTGAGTGTTATAAACTCGAAGAAATAGTCCAGGGCTACAGTAGTATTTTCTGGTATTTTTTTCACACTGGATTTGGTTTATAAGTAAGATCCCTCAAAAATTCTCTGACCTCCGAGAGGGCTGAGATCGCTGACCTCACCTTGGGCTATCACTGAGGGCAGAGCAGAGGGCAGACCGGCAAAGCTGTGCTGTCCTTCTTCCCACAAACAAAGCCAGCGGGAGGGCTGGCCTCCCAGCTGCTTCCCCATGTGGCTGCTGCTGGGAAGTCTCTTCTGTGGCAGCGGGTGGCTGGAACTTCCTGCCTGCAGTGTGCACAGAGGACTGGGCTCCAGAGCCCAAGAACTCACCAGCCCTTGGTTGGCCCTCCTCAGCCCTTGGTTCCTTGTTTTCTGAGAATGTCACACTGTGAGGTTGGTGGGAGGAATGGCGTCCTATCCTTGGCTGCTCTGTGTTCCCGGGCCCTGCGTGCCAGAAGTGGTTTCTCACTGCCCATCCCTTACTTTCTACATCCAGCCTGACTCGAGGACAGGACAGATGCATTCTCCTCATGGCTGGGAGAGCCTTTGGGGCCCCTTTCTTAGCACTTGAGATAGATGTGCGGCAGAGCAGGGGTGTGTGGTGCTGGCCTGAGGTCCCAGTGGGGTGCTGGGGTGTGGACTGCCCCAGCCAGTCTGGGCTGATGTTCCTGTCACTCGCTAGGCATTCCCCATTTTTACTTCTCTAGTCCTTCCCTGCTGACACCCCATTTTACGCCATTTTATTTTCCTTTCTCTGTGTCACTGTTCCACCAATCTCTTTCTCTCCAAAGACCCTAGAAATGCATCACAGCTTCTACTCTCTACCACTTTGAAGCCCAAGCAGGAAGCTCAGAGCTATTCCTTTTGCTTCCTCCCCAAAGGAATGGGATTAAGAAAACCCTTGGGTTAGACCCAAACCAACCCAAAGCCAGCCCCTCAGCTTGCCTCCCTCCTCCCAGTGCATGACAATATTTGTTTGTCTCAGAGGACTGTGGTGCTTCAAGGTTTAATGATGAATGTCTGCCACACTCCATCTTCCCTCCTCTATAGCCCCCACCAGCTCTGACAGGGTCAGAGCTCTTTAGAGCAGCTTCGGGAGGCGGTTGCCACGGAGACTGGAAATTGGTCCCAGGGACAGGCTGTGCTACCTACTGGGTGGTGGGGAGGGAAGCTTCTGGCCATGCTTGGATGTTCAGACCAACCATCATTAATGTTAATAGAGGAAATGCAGCAATGTCAAAAGCAAGGCAGGTTTGTTAAATTAGATCTGGGGCCTGATGACCTCCCTCTTCCAGGGCTACAGCCCTTTTGACTTCCCCCAGCAGGAAGCGCTGCCTGTGTGCTGAGTCTGGGCTGCTTGCTTAATTGCATTTCTGGAAGGGAAGGAGAGCAGGGATGGAGAACCTCTGCTCACCCCTTTCACCCCACCAATCTCCCTCCCCTCCTCCCCACAGGCAGAGTTGGTTTCTTCTGAGCTGGGTGGGGGAAGCCATCTGGGTGGGCTCTCCTGGAGGTAGCATGCAGGAATCTGTGCTTGGCTCTTAGCTGAGAACAGTGGCCCACGATGACAACCAGGAGGTGGCTGACGATCCCTTGTGCCTTCTTATTTCCTAATGGGATCTTGTTGGAAGGGAGGAGCTCTGAAGGAGCTAAAGGGGCAGCCACTCGGAGTGAGGGGGAGGAAGGAGAAAGCTCAGCCAGTTTCTGCCCGTCCGTCCCTCCTGATCTGGCCACACTGGGGACAAAGGGTTCCTCTGTCCCTTCCACTGCTCTCCAAGGATGGGAGAATTGTCTGCCCACTCCCTCCTCTACCTCCTTGCCCAGACTGGCAGATACTTCTCTGGGGACAAGGCCACGTGGGTTGATGCAGCTTCAAGTGCCCAGGTTCTGTTGTTGGAAGATGCTGCGGAGAGGGGCTGGCAGAGTGGTGCTCCAAATATGGACTCCAGCCCCCAGGAATTGGCAGAAATGTGACATGCCCCACAAACTTGTTGGTGGAGGAAGAAGACTTCTGTTAGCCCAACCTCCAGCCAGCTTCTTGTGCCACATTTTATATTAAAAATTTTTTTCCACGGATAATCAGAGGATAATTTGTAATAAATAGCTCTTATTTTCAATGCTATGTTGTTCTTGTTGTACTTAATTGAATCTGACTTGCCCTCTGGCTCCCAGAAGGAAGAGAAGAATGTTTTGACTACAAGAACCATTCCATTGTGTCTCAAGTCTGAGGCCATTCTAATTCCAGCAGAGGCCCTGGGCTGCGAAGGTGAGCCTGATGACCCAGAGGGCATTTGGGCCCTCTCACCTACAAGGTTACTTGAGTAATGTTGGTTATTATTTTGATTTTCTTAAACTTATTCCAAAATAAGTAGGAAGCTGGACCTTATTTTTTCTCTTTTAACCTGCCCACACAAGTATAGAAAGGAGTGAAAGATAACAGTTGTCCACTTCTGAGACAGCTGAATAGCCCAGAATTGTAGCAACTTCCATTCTGCTTCCCCAAGACTCCCATCTTGACAGGGGTCTTCTGTTATCAGGAGTCACGTTTAGGTCCGAAGGGGGCAAGAGCTGACTTGTGTTGGACAGTAGGTGGGGGAGGAGAGAAGTAGCACTGCACTGTGAAATTGGGGGTCTTCTGGGCTCCCTGACTCCTGTCCCCCTTAGGACGCAGAGTAGCTGGAGTCAGGGAAGGGGAGGGCATGCAGATCTTCAGGAGGTGGAAAATGCCTAGGACAGGCAGGTTAGAGAAGGACCAGACACTTCTTGACTAGCGCAGCTTAGTTTACCAAGTCCCGACACATCTGTGACACTTCATCCTCATAAAGACCCTGTGAAGTCGGGGCTGTTTTTGTCCTTGTTCTACCCATGAGAGATTCAATTGCTTGCCTGAGGTCCCACGATCAATAAATAGTAGAGCCAGGACTAGGCGCCAAGTTGGGCTTTTTCTGCATCTCCAGCCGGGTCCTGGGACTAGAAGCACCTTCCCAGAACAACCTGGCAGCTCTGGGTCCCCTGGGGAGAAGGCGTGGACTCGGTTCAGAGGTGTCCAGGTTTAGTATGTTCCTTTGTACATTCTGCTTAACGCATGGACAGCTCATCTAGCGCCCGGTGTTTCCTGGTGCACCTAGACCAGTTTTCTGAGGAAAAAGCCCTGATTTGTGGCATTTTTCCAATTTCCATGGTGTCAATACTCCTACCATGGCCTATTTCAGGCTACCAACCTGATGTCACTGAGAGATGCTCACATTTGGCTCTCACAAGCCATCTAAGAGCCTGCCATTGACCTAGGCCCAGTGACATTGGCTTTGAACTGTGGAGGCAGCTCTTGGTCACAGCCCCTCATTAAAATGAGGGAGGCAGTGGAGCATGGAGGCCTAGAGGATGGGACAGAGTGAAACCTGAGGTCAAATCCTGGCCCCAACGTTTATTAACTATGTGACCTTGAGCTAGTTACTTAACCTCTCTGCCTCTGTTTCCTCAACAGTAAAACAATAAATAGTACCTACTTCATAGTTATTGTGAGGGTGAAAAGAGTTAATGGTGCAAAGTACCTTGCACAGGGCCTGGACAAGAATGCTCAGTACGTGCTAGCTCTGGATTACTGTTGACGAGAAATCGACCTCAGTGACGGCACTGGCTCTAGAACAGTACTTGAACTCTCCCCTTGATTAGAACCTCCTGCCCAAGTCTCGGGCAGATGCCAGGCAGGGAGGGGAGCTCCTGTGACTTTCCCCAGCCTCTCAAATGTGGAATCAGACCCTCCGTCTCCTGGTTGGAATACACCACCCTGAGTGCTTAGGCCCAGCCAGAGTCTCAGGCCTTTTCTCCAAGGGGAGCAGAGATTAGAGTACACTTAGCTCTCTCCTCTGGCCTCCTGCTGGCTCTAGAAGTGCTGAGTGAGTGCTGACTCCACCACTTACTAGCTGAGGCCATTAACTCCCGTTAACTTATCAGACCCCAGACCCTGTCCAAAGGAGAAAGGAGGCAAGACGGGTCCCGAGTGTAGACTGATGCCAGGAAGGGCAACCTGGGTGGAGTGGGAAGCCTTAGACGAGTCAGGTGGCCTGCACAGAGCATCAGGCACCTGGGCACTGAAAGGTAGAGGTCACCGGAGACATATGTCGCCTCCCCACCATCCCCCCATGACCTGCTGACCTGGCTGCAGGGCCCAGGATGCCAAACTGGAAGTCTAGTCCTCAAGTACCCTGGCCACCTTCTTCCTTCAGCCCTTAGTCCCTTCATGCTCTTACTTGGGGATCTCGCAGACTCTTTAGGACACAAGCCAGGCTGCCTCACAGTCTTTCTCTCCTGCTCCAGCCCAGAGACCCCAGAGATATGTGGGGAGATGGGGAAGAGAGGAATAGGATGTACTCCAAACTCCTGAGTCCTTGGACAAGGGAGAGCAGCTAGAGGGTTTCATCAGGCTTGGCTGTGAGCAGGAAAGAAGAGTTCTGCTGAGACCCTCAGTCCTGACTCAGGGCCAGAAGGAGTTCTAGAAGGCAAGGACTCAGCACTCCATGCCTAGCACAGGGTTAGGCGTGGAGCCTCAGCCTGTCCATCACCAGTGGCCCTGGAACACTCACCTTGTATTCATGGAACCATAGGAGGTGGACTGAAAGGCCCCCTAGAGACCTTGCTACCCAACCTCCTTACTGTACAGCTGAGGAACTGGAGAGAGACAAGTGGGCAGACTGAGAGGAGACAGGCTCAGAGACGTGAAATAATGAAAGATAAAGGAGGGTTTTGCTCTTCAAAACCTGCCCACCAGAACTGGGCTGGGGCCTGGGGAACTTTCATGCTTGAAACAGAAAGGTTTAAGTGGAATTGACAGGTGACCAACTTCACACCCTGAATGGCAAGCATGAGATTCTGTTACCAGAACTTCAATTTAAACTTGTTAAAGAGTCTATTAAAAATCGTGGAATGGTGGAATGTTCGGCCACAACTCCGTCAGTGTCCAGGTAGTAGAATGCTCATAGCTGCTGCACCTGGACCCCACCCTGGCCAAGCAGATTGGGGTTAGAATGGAGCTCACAGATTTCTAAAGATGGAGTCTCAAGAGAACCCAGGCCAGGCTGGAAATGGCTGCCGTCTTGGCCCTGTCCCTAAGGCTGAGAGCCAGGGTGGCGCCCAACGTGCAGGGTGCCTCAGTCAGAGCCAGAGCTAGAGCAGAGGGTCCCTCAACCTC